TGTTAAAAACCACTACAAGTGTTGAATATAAACATTTTAAAAAGACTTGTTTATTTGAAAGACAGAGTGACAGAGGAAGAGGCAGAGAGAGAGAGAGAGAATCTCATCCAGTCTCATCCAGTACTCCAATATTAGGATACAGGCATCCCATTAGTGACTTAACTTGCTGTGCCAAAGCCCCACTCAAAGCCTTTTTTTTTTTTTTTTTTTTTTTTTGACAGGCAGAGTGGACAGTGTGAGAGAGAGACAGAGAGAAAGGTCTTCCTTTTGCCGTTGGTTCACCCTCCAAAGGCCGCCACGGCTGGCGCTGCGGCCGGTGCACCGCGCGGATCCAAAGGCAGGAGCCAGGTGTTTCTTCTGGTCTCCCATGGGGTGCAGGGCCCAAGCACTTGGGCCATCCTCCACTGCACTCCCGGGCCACAGCAAAGAGCTGGCCTGGAAGAGGGGCAACCGGGAAAGAATCTGGCGCCTCGACCAGCACTAGAACCCGGTGTGCCGGCGCCGCTAGGTGGAGGATTAGCCTATTGAGCCGTGGTGCCGGCCTCAAAGCATTTTTAAAAGTCAACAAGGTAGACATGAAATTGTAAACTCGAGGCCGGCACTGTGGTGCAGGGGGTCAAAGCCCTGGTCTGAAGAACCAGCATCCCATATGGGTGCTGGTTCTAGTCCCAGCTGCTCCACTTCCGATCCAGCTCTCTGCTGTGGCCTGGGATAGCAGTGGAGGATGGCCCAGGTCCTTGGGCCCCTGCACCGCGTGGGAGACCCCGAAGCTCCTGGCTCCTGGCTTCGGATCAGCACAGCTCCAGCCATTGCGGTCATCTGGAGTGAACCAGCAGATGGAAGACCTCTCTCTCTCTGTCTCTACCTCTCTCTCTAACTCTGTCTTTCAAATAAATAAAATAAATAAATAAAAAAAATGAAATTGGAAACTCAAAGAGAAGCTGAACACTGAAGTTGTTTTTGTCTTGAGAACTTTTGGTCAGCCAGGTGAACTTGAACTGTAAGTTGGCTCATTAAAGAATATGCAGCCCAAATTCACAGCATTTAGGATATCCAGAAAACTTCAAGCCATGAATTTAGGATCATTCTTTTAAGTAAAATGTATTTTTTAGAGATTAAAAAGTTCATTGGAGCTGGTGCCGTGGCACAGTAGGAAAATCCTCTGCCTGTGGCATCGGCATCTCATGTGGGTGCTGGTTCTAGTCCCAGCTGCTTCCAATCAAGCTCTCTGCTATGGCCTGGGATAGCAGTTGAAGATGGCATAAGTCCTTGGGTCCCTGCACCCGCGTGGGAGATCCAGAAGAAGGACCTGGCTCCTGGCTTTGGATGGGCACAGCTTTGGCCCTTGCGGTCATTTGGGGAGTGAACCAGCAGATGGAAGACGTCTCTCTGTGTCTCCTTCTCACTGTCTGTAACTCTACCTCTCAAATAAATAAATAAAAAAAATCTTTAAAAAAAGTTCATAATGATTAAGATTTTAGTTTACCAGGAAGATGTAAAACTATTAAAGTGATCTGTTCTTAGTAATACAGCCTCAATAATATGTAAGTTAACAGGACAAATTTGTAACATGATTTCTTAGTAATTGATATAATTAGACAACAAAATTCAGTAAGAATATAGATTATGTGAATAATTAGCAGTAAACTAAAGACCACATATAGAACACTGTACCAGACAGCTCAGGAGTATGTTTATGTTTCTAAGTTTTCTCAGAACATTTACTAAAGTTGACTATATCCTGCTTCCTAAAGCAGGTCTCTGTAACTCTGGGAAGATTGAACTCACCCTGAGAAGGGTGTCTGATCATCACAGTGCAGTTGTGGTAGAAATTAATAACCTACAGATAACCAGAAAAATCCCATGTGCTGGGAAATTAGGAAATACATCTTAACCTATATTTTAAAGAAAACATAATACAAATCAGAAAGTTTTAGACCGAATGATTATGAAAATACTGCATTCAAAGCTTGAGATATATGGCCAAAATAGAAATTTGTATTCTTAAATGATTATGTTAGAAAAAATAAAGTCTGAAGATGAATGGCCTCTGAGTCTCCATTTCACAAAGCTAGAGAAAAAACAGCAAATTCTCTTAAAGAAGCTGAAAGAGGAAATAATAAAGGCAGGAACAGAAATAGAAAGCAGAGAGAAGGAGAATCAGTAAAACTACAACTTGCTGAAAGACAACTGAAATTAGATCTGTTGACAGGATTAGGACACTGATGAGAAAGAAGACATAACCACAGAAGTTACACACACCAAAAAGTTAAGGGACTCTTCAACAGATTTAATAGGTCAGTTTGTAGAAATAACGTTTCTACTGAAGAGACAGAAATCCTGAATGGCACAGTAACTGTGAAATGAATGAAATCAGTAGTCAGAATTTTCCCACAGGGACACTTCCAGGTCTAGAAGACTTTACCCAGGAGTTCCACCAGACATTTAAAGAAAAAGTAATTTTGGTTTTACTAATTGTCTGTTGCTGTATAACAAGTGGCACAACAGTGTTGTGGTTTGAAACAGTCACATTTGTTATCTTTCACGGTTTCTGTGGGTCGGGACTTCAGGAAGGACTCGGGGTGTCCTGTACGTCTCTTAGCAGGTTGTAGTCGGACATCACCTGCGGGTGGGTCACTGGCTGGTGGGGAGAGGATCCCTGGGGACATCTTGAAGCCTGGCTACCATAGTAGACTTCACTGGATGAAGAGAGAGAGGGAACACTTTCCACTTCAATTTATGAGGCAAATATGAGACAGGGAGGGGCTGGCGTTGTGGTGCAGTGGGTTAAGCTATTGCATGCAACACTGGCATCCCATTTTGGAGCGCTGATTAGAGTCCCAGCTGCTCTGCTTCTGATTCAGCCCTGCTAATGCATCTGGGAGGGCAGTGGAAGACGGTTCAAGTGCTAGGCCCTGCCACCCACGTGGGAGACCTGCATGGAGTTCCTGGCTCCTAGCTTCAGCCTGGCCCAGCCCTGCCTGCTGTGGGTACTTGGGGAGTGAACCCATGGATGGAAGATCTCTTTGTCTCTCCCTCTCTGTCACTCTGCCCTTCAAATACATAAATTTTTAAAAAATCTTCTTTATCACTTCAGAGTCTCTTCTTTCCCAGCTTGGACATGTTTCTGGTGTAAACTTTTCCACTGAAAAGTGTGTTTCCACTGCCACCACCTTTGGAGGAGCTGGCCCTGACATGTGCCGTATGCCGCTGGGTGCAGGAGCTGTCCTGTTATTACTGAGTTAGAGTCTGAAGCCCCCTTGCTCCCAGAAATGCCTCGTGGACGTGGGCTCGTGCTGCGGCTGGGCACTTAAACTTTGGTTGGGCAGCTCTCTGCCTGAGGAGAGTAAACAAGGACACCCAAACTTCTTGTTTCCTCCCGGTCAGTTAGAGTACAGGAACCACAGGGATGGACCTCCGTGGGAATTTACCTCTGAGACATCCCAGCACCTCAGCCTCCATGATGTTTCCTTGGAAACCATAGTCCCCTTACTGTGGAGCCATTCCTGTGGACATAGAGCCTCCCCCCTCCTCTGCCACTGAGAGGATCCGGTGGATTTTCTAGCCCAGAGTGTGAGCTCCTGAGGCTGGGGAAGTTAACTAAAGCTTGGCTCAGTTGCTCCTCCCCCCACTAAGTCTGCCTTCTCTCCTTTCCTAACCCTCTTAGCTAAGGGAGAAAGCATCAAGGCTCCGTGGCCCCTGGGTGCACCCCTTCTCCAGCCTTCTGTCCATCGTGGTGGTTTCCGCTGATCCATGATGGCGTGCAGAGAGCTCTCTGCAGGAGAAAAATGAATGACTCAGTTGTGACCTTGGGAACGTATACCTTTTTTTTTTTTTTAAGTATTCTTCACCTGCCCATTTTTTTTCTTTTTCTTTTCCCCTCCCCCCCTTCCCTCCCTCCCTCCCTCCCTCCCTCCCTCCCTTCCAGGTTTGTATTATCTGTTTGAAAGGGAGAGACAGAGACAGAGACAGAGAGAGATCTTCCATGCACTATTTTACTCCCCCAAATGGCTGCAACGGCCAGAGCTTGGCTGTGCTGAAGCCAGGAACCAAGAGCTTCTTCCTGCATGGGTGCAGGAGCCCAAGCACTTGGCCCGTCCTCTGCCGCTTTCCCAAATGCATTAGCAGGGAGCTGGGTCAGAGTGGAGCAGCTGGGACTGGAACTGGTGCCCATGTGGGATGCCGGTGTTGCAGGCAGCGGCTTTACCTGCTACACCACAGCACCGGCCCCCAACCTTTTGCTTATTAACCTTGAGCCAGAGGTAGGAGGTGGGTTGTTTGCCGTTACTGAAAGACATGTTAAGTAATCTCGCTGTAAATTGTGCTGCTGAGGGTATGTAGCAATCTCTGGGATGAATGAGCCGTTTGGAGAATTTTGAGCTCTTCAGGTCTTGAGTTGGTTGGCGATTGAGAGTCTGCAGGCTCTAGGATGTTTCATTTTCCTTCAGCCGCTGGTAATCCTCAGCCCTTCCCCCTTCCCGTGGGGACTAGTTCTTCTCCGTGCAGTACCGGTCTCACCTTTGGCGAAGTTCCCCGTGCACTCTTCCCATTGTGTTTGCTTTCCTGTCTCCCACACGCCTACTGTCTTCCACCACTCTTTTGGTCTTGAGCAGATGTTCCTTGATGAGTATTTGTCTGTTCGGCTTGATTCTGTGTCCCACAGCTCAGGGCCCGAGTCTTCGAGGTCTGTGTGTCCCCCTTAATTCCTGATGTGCACCTCGCATGATTTACCCTCATCAGAATGCACTGATCCAGTTCCTGATTGTTCTGCACAGTTAGTCCATCTTGCAGGAGTCCCCAATCACAGGTACAGACACACAGAGAAACCCTACCCAGACGTGTAAATAAACATTTAAATATAGTCCGTGGTGGAGACACAGTAAATAAGAGGTTGAATCCCAAGGAAAAAGAAGGAAGAAGTGCCTGGGCTCATTTCACTTTTCTTGTTTTTCTTCCTACAACCTTGGTCTCTCTCTCTCTCTCTTTTTTTTTTTTTACAGAACCCTGCGATCAGCATCACTGAAAATGTGCTGCATTTCAAAGGTCAGTACCTGGCAGGTGCTTCCGGCTTTCTACACAGTTCTGGAGGCTGGGTGGAGGTTTCCCCGAGTCTGTTTCACTCACTTTTCATTGCTGCTCATCTCTGATATTCTTGGAGTAAACTAGATCATTTTGAAACATAAGATTAGAAAAGGCAAAGACTTTAAAACCGCTTGACAAGACTGTGGCTGCAGTGGGGGAGGGAGGGAATCCTAGGCTGGAAATGGAGAGTGTGTTTTAGCTGTAATTCTGCCACTACCTCCGACAAGTTACTGCTGCTCTGGAGCTCGGGGATGAAGGTGTTGGGTTAGACTCTGTGTTTCTCAAGCCTGAGGACCCATGGGCAGGCACCTGAGGAAGCCTTCACGGGGCCCTGCAGGCCTCCTGACTGAGGAGCGTGTGAAGAGCTGACATCTCCACTTGAAGTGACGCCTGCTCCCACCAGCGCTGTGGGGGGATGCGCGCGGCACTGACTGCACGGCAGTCCTTGGCTGTCCACATGAGCCAGGATGCAAAAAAAGGTAGTGAACATTTAAAACTGCTGGACAGGTTCTCGATGAGCCCTTGTGGCTCCCTGAGGTCGCACTTGCAGGCTGGTTGGAGAAGCACTGTGCTCTGCCTAAGGGCTGAAGCCTTTCCGGCTCTGACACCCCGATCCTGTGACTCTGCCTGTCTCCTTTCTCTCCATGTCAGCAGCCGTCCTGCCCTGCCTGCGAGGGAAGCTCTCCGTTCACTGTCACACAGGGGAGCCCCCTCCGTTCAAGGTCTGGGGCTTATTGGAGAACAAATGAGAGTCCCTCTACCCCGATATGTTTGCATGGAAGTACAGCCTGGCTTTTGTGTCTGCTTTCCAACATGAAAGCAGCCACTCAGCATTCTTGGATTCTTGGGCAGTTGTGTACACTTAAAAGGAAGTTAAAAGGGTAAAAGTGATTTCTTGCCACTTAAGAGTTATAAAGGGTCCTACCTTCAGGAATTTATGGTCTTAGAGAATAATAGACACATGTAGTAAATATTAAGCAGATTATACACGTGGCCAGATGAGGGAAGAGATCCTAGGAAGAACCCAAGTAGTAAATGAGTCAGAGAGTGGGTGGGGTGGGCTGTCCAGCTTCAGCTACTTGGTCCAGCAGTCACTGGCACCTGGGCATGGCACCTGCTTGCTGTGCACGGGGATGGGCAGTGGCTCTGACCCAGGGGCTTTCCTCCCGGTTCTCCCGTCCGCCCCAAGCTGCAGTCATCCTCCTTGTTCCATCTGGAATGTGTGAAGAAGTCAGCTTCTCGCTAGCCCTGCTTGGGAGGTTTTAAATGTAGAGTTGTCTTTGAGATGACTTTCCTTAATCACACGCAAGACGGTACACCCACTGCTTTTCGCTGCTCTGAATTTAGAGTCAGAGTAAAGGTGAAAGTTAAATTTATATCAGTGTGGCAACTTTGCCTTTGCTTTTAATATTATTTTTCTTGCCTGTTATTTCTACTGAGTATTGTCAGGGCTGCTTTGAGAGATTAAGATGCTGTTGAACTGATCATCAGAGGACACAGGGAGATCAACTTTGATCCAGGGTTTGGCTTACCTAGCTGTTGCATAGTTTTGCTCATGAGCTGCCATACGTTTTGACCCATTCCTATTTGTGTATTTATGAAAAGACTGTACCCAGCTGCCTTTGGGCTGGCCTCAGTCTCCTCAAGTTCACAGTAACCTGCATTTTTTTCTCTGTAGCTCAGGGACACGGTGCCAAAGGAGACAATGTCTATGAGTTTCACTTGGAGTTCTTAGACCTCGTCAAGCCCGAGGTATGTTCTTCCCTTTCTCGCTTCCCTTCCCACTTCAGGAAATGGGCACCAGCAGTTTAGGGCAATGGGGTCAGGGGTTGTGAGAGAGAAGATAAAGGCCAAAGGGGAATGATAGAGTTCTCTTATTTGGAACACAGCCCAGGCTATAGTTCCAGAGGAATGGGAAAGTTGCAGAACCTGGGTGGAATCTGGGCTGTGCCACTTATTTGCACTGTGAACTCAAACAAGTCTCTTTGCTTGTTCCATTTTTCTCCTGTGTTAAAGAATTGGACCGGCCGGCACTGTGGTGTAGCAGGTAAAGCCACCTCCTACAGCACTGGCATCTCGTATGGGCCCTGGTTCAAGTCCTGGCTGCTCCATTTCCAATGCAGCTCCCTGCTAATGTGCCTGGGAAAGCAGTGGAAGAGGGTCCAAATATTTGGGTCCCTGCACTCATGTGGGAGACCCTAATGAAGCTCCTGGCTCCTGGCTTTAGCATGGCTCAGCCCTGGCCATTTGGGGAGTGAACAAATGGATGAAAGATCTCTCTTTCTCTCTTTTTCTCTGCCTGTGCCTTTCTGTAACTCTGCCTTTCAGATAAATTAAAAAAAAAAAAAAGAATTGGACCAAGTGATCACTAGGGTCTCTTCCAACTCTCATATCCTCTAATTTTATTTGTTTATTTGGAAAGTGGAGAGACAGAGATGTCCCATCCCCTGATTCACTCCCCAAATGGCCACAAGCAGCTGGGGCTGGGTCAGGCTGAAACCAGGAGCCAGGAATTCTATCTGGATCTCTTATGTACTGGATCTCTTATGTACTGGGACCATCATCCACTGCCGCCCCAGGTGCACATTAGCAGGAAGCTGAATCGTAAGTGGAGTAGCTGGGACTTGAATCAGCCACTCCAGTAGGGGACGCAGGCATCTCAAGTGGCGGTTTAACCTGCTTCCCCACAACGCCCGCTCCTATATTTTCTGATTTTGATGTTGGTAAAGGAATAAGGCACCTGTTTTGAGCAAGGTTCCTTAAAGTAGTTGAAGCCCCCATGAGGGAGCTTTGCCACAGGGGCAGTGAGAAAAGTGGAGATCAGGGCGCAGGCAGGTGGTCTTAGGAAGAGTGCTGGAAACGTAATTGAGGTTCCCCCTCTCTCAGGCTGACGAAGCCTCTCCACCTGGCAGAGGGTGGATCGCACCGTTCACTTGGCCTGGGAGCTTGAGCTCGCTGATCTCTGCAGGAGCTCAGTCACTCTGAGAACTGCCCTGATGTCAGCGGCCGCAGAGAGCCTGCCCTGGGGCTTGCTGCGGAGACAGGCTGAGGCCGTGTAGAGAAAAACCGAGCAGGAACAGCCTCCAAGGCTGGTGGGTGGTTGGGCAGACTCCCTAGTGGAGGCTCACACAGGAAACACTGTAACTGAACCAGCGCCTTCTGACATGGATGCCTTTTCTGGAACAAGGGTTTGCTGAACCAAGGCCCTCATTTTCATGGGAGGAAGCTTTGGAAGCCCAGGGTGTGCCTGAGAGGGTGTTTGCACCCGGGGCTTGGGTGACTGGCTCTGGCAGGCGGTTCCCGCAGGTTCCCTCCAGGCCAGCCAAGGGCCATTTGCCTTTCTTACCCAGATTTCCTCCTGTGCCAGTCACTGGGGAATCTCACAGGCCCCACATCAGCTCGTGGGGGTCGGGGCTGCTGGGAGAAGGGAAGCGCATGCGCTAAGCCGGCCCCACAGCTTCATGTGAGAGCTGGCGGGCCGTCCTCATCTCTGGCCTTCTCTCGCAGCCGATTTACAAGCTGACCCAGAGGCAGGTGAACATCACTGTGCAGAAGAAGGTGAGCCAGTGGTGGGAGAGACTCACCAAGCAGGAGAAGCGCCCACTGTTCTTGGCCCCCGACTTTGACCGCTGGCTGGATGAATCTGACGCGGAGATGGAGCTCAGAGCCAAGGTTAGTGAGGACCTTAGGACCTTAGGGCTTCATGAGGAAGCCCAGAGACACGGGCAACTCAGGCACTGCTCCGTGTCTTGCAGAAGGGGGCCGGGTTACAGATTCCTTCACAGACCTGGTGACGTGATCTCAGATAGGTACTGGCCATGTGTTTTGTAGACGGTTCCCCCGCTGGGGTCTGTCTGGTGTGTTCCTTCTGGCTGGATGTGGGTGGGGGTTTCTGAAGAGGGAGACCACAGGGAAAGTGCCTTCTTGCCACAGCACGTCAGGGGCACACCGTCAACACGCCCTAGCACTGTGACTGCTCGCTGTGGACCAGCTGGCTCAGGCGCTGTGTGCTGGGGGTCTCTCTTGTACCCACCCCGTGCCTTCTCTTTGGAAGGAAGTCACTGCGGAGCCCCCACTTCAGGAGTGCAGAGTTGTGCCGCTTTCGAGTAGAGTATCCACCTAGTTTATTTTACATACTTCTACACGGCCATTTGATATCAGTCATTTATTGATATCAGTATGGACTCAGGAGTGTTTATTTTATACTTTGGGTTGTCATCAAATACTATTTTTATTTTCAGATTGTTCCAGCTTTGGCCACTGGGAGAGGTTTCACTTAGCTTTTGTGTCTTTTTGAGAAAGTCCTATCCTTGTAGGACTTTTGTTTTTTGACTGCTTCCCTAATTCCTGGCACCATAATCTGCTGCAGGCTGTGAGCTCTCAGATTTCCTGCAGCAGCCATTTCTCGAAGGAGCTCTCTGCTTTTCATGAAGAATGGTCCTGGAAACGCAAACTGTAGAGTTCGTTTGCTGCTTGATGGGCTGACCCCTTATACACATGCCCTACAAGCATTTCTATGTGTGTCCATCTGTGTCCATATTAAGCTCAATATGAATTCACACTCAGAGATGTGATCTTAGTTTCTGGAAAAATTGAACTAAGAATCTAGAAGTCATGAAAAATAAAAGAGCCATCTACTTGCTGCCTTAAACTTCTGTTTTGTTTCTTTGTGACAAATCCTCTAGTTGTCCTTTCCACCTCTAACATGGCAGGGTGCCCACTCGGCAGTTTGGAGGCCAGCGGCCTGGTTCAATGCTGTGGACACTGGAGGGCCATCCCGTGGTGCTGATGCCCCCAGGAGGGAGGCGGCAGGTGCGCCACAAGCTAAGACACTCTCCCCAGTGGAGCGCTGGCCGCAGTTGGAGAGGTAGCTGTGAGGGAGTCAGATCACTTATCCAAGAATGTGCATCTTTGTAAGCACCTGGGAATGTTAACTATGTTCTTGGAAAATTTCTGTCTACGTTCTAGGAAGAAGAACGTCTAAATAAACTCCGACTGGAAAGCGAAGGCTCCCCTGAAAGTAAGTCCCCTGATGCTGTGATGGATTCCAGCTGTGGTCGAGGCGGGGGCAGGGGGCCGGGCTGGGGGACTGCGGCATGGCAGGAAAGCTGGTGACTTCCCGCAGAGAACTGTATGCATGAGCCTGTCGGACTCCTGACTGCACACCCCCATCAAAAGCTTGTTTCTGTTTGGGGCCTGGAGTCCTCTGAGGAGCCAAGACTGTGCAGCAGAATGGATGCAGCTCAGTGTCCTAGGCTGGCCTGGTGGCAGGCGGCACCTAAATGCCGCACAGACCTGCGGACAGGTGTGTGAGTTCAAGGCTACGCTCCTGCAGCCGTAGAGAAGTGTGCTTGCCAGCCTTAAAGAGGATGTAGTCTGGGCAGACCTGCTATTCATTAACATTTGAAAAATCCATTTCTGTTTCTATTTCTATCTGTCCAGCCACTGAGAAGCAAGAAGCTCTGTAAGCGTATTATCTTCCAGGTGACGTAGTTGGATTAAATCCAGCAGCTAGCAGCTTCAGGTGGTGAGGGAAGCATTTCATTAGGCCCTGATGGGGAGCCAGGGGGAGCCACTGTAGCCCCTGCACTCCCAAGAGCTTGCATTGCAGTGGGAGGACTGTGCAGGTTTGTGTGCAGCTAGCTGTGAACAGCAGACCGAAATAAAGCTCTTCCTTTGTCTCACCCAGAACTTGGCCAAGTTTTAGTGACTTCAACTTGCGTGCTGTGAGGGAGGAAGGGGGCAGGTTTGGAGCAGTGGCTTTCAAATATGTTTCCCAGTGCTCCAGGGGTTCCAGGAAGTACTGCAGGGGAAAGCCGAGCAAACAGGCCAACCTCAGTCATGGTAGCTCTTTTTTTTGTGTTTTATAAATTGGGGTTCTTGATAAAATTTCTTTTGCAAAGGAGTTTTAAAAATATTTGAATAGCCACTAATTGAGAGGAATATATTGACTTTTAGAAAACGCAAAGAAACAGAGAAGATTTGTGGAGAAAAAGAATAATGACAACATAAAAGGGCCACCTTGAGATTTAAATTAATTTCCTGGTGCTTTAAAGGGATATTTTCAGGGGTCCATGTAGCGGCGCAGGGCTTTAAGCCGCCCTTGTGATAATGCCGGCATCCCATATGGGAGCAGCTGTTTGAGTCCCTGCAGCTCTCCTGATCCAGCTCCCTGCTCATGTGCCTGGGAAAGCAGCAGAGAATGACCCAAGTGGGAGACCCAGATGAGGTTCTAGGCTCTTGGCTTCCGCCTGACCCAGCCTCTGCTATTGCAGCCATTTGAGAAGTGAGCCATGATGGGGGATCTTTCTTTCCCTCCCTCTTTCTGTATTACTCTGCCTTTCAAATAAGTAAATAAATAAATCATTTAAATAAAAGGATAAATTCAGAAATAGGTAACAATTCTTATATATGGATTTTTAGGGCGTTTTTAAAGCTTTAACTTTTTTTCTGAATTTGTAAAGTTTCCTGATGAAGGAAATTCTTTATTATACAGAAGTATAATAAATTTTTATGATTTTAAAGAAAAGTATTTTAATTAGTCATATGTTGTGAAGAGGCTTGACATTTTTTTTGCCCCTTTGGATGTACCTGCTTTTTTTAACCATTAAACATTTTTTAGAAATTTTACTTATCTGACAGGCAGAGAGAAAGAGAGAGGGAGACAGAGGGAACTCCTGGTCATTCTCCAAATGACCACAATTAGCCCTGGCTGAAGCTGGGAGCTGAGAACTTTATCTGGGTCTCCCACCTGAATGGCGAGGATCCAACCACTTGAGCCATCACCACTCCCTTGTGGGGTTCTCATCAGCAGGAAACTGGAATCTGGAGTAGAGCTGGGATTGGAACCCAGCACTCAGATATGAGATGCAGGCGTTCCAGCTAGTGTCTTAACCACATGCCAAATACCCACCCCAAGGGCTGTTTTTTTTTTTTTCTTTTCTAGAAGATTTGTTTATTTTTATTTTATTTTTTAAAAAGATTTATTTATTTATTTGAAAGAGTTACAGAGAGAGGTAGAGACAGAGAGAGAGAGAGAGAGAGAGAAGTCTTCCATCCGCTGATTCACTCCGCAGATGGCTGCAACAGCTGGAGCTGCGCTGATCCGAAGCCACGAGCCAGGAGCTTCTTCCAGGTCTCCCACTCGAGTACAGGGGCCCAAGGACTTGAGCCATCTTCTACTACTTTCCCGGGCCATAGCAGAGAGCTGGATCAGAAGAGGAGCAGCCAGGACTAGAACCGGCGCCCAGATGGGTTGCCAGCAGTTTAGGCCAGGGCTGTAACCTGCTGCACCACAGCGCCGGCCCCAGAAGATTTGTTTATTTATTTGAAAGTCAGAGTTAGAGAGCCGGGGAGAGATAGAGGTCTTCCACCTGCTGGCTCACTCCCCAAAAGGCCACAACAGCCAGGGCTAGGCTAGGCTGAAGCCAGGAGCCAGGAGCTTCATCCAGGTCTCCCACATGGGTGGCCAGGCCATCAGCAGGGAGCTGGATCGGAAGTGGAGTAGCTGGCACAGGAACTGGCGCCTTTTTGGGATGCCAACATCACAGATGGTGGCTTTACATGCTCCACCAAGCGCTGACCCCCTAAGACTGCTTTTGAGTGACCACACTGTTAAATGTGATTATCAGTTAAGTGTCTGTGCAGAATTTTCTGTAGCCCAGGAATAAATAAATACATGTCACCGAAATCTTAGTTTTCATTTGCTGTTTCTTCCTCCTTGAGCTGGTTTGACCGGTGTGAGTATAAAAACATTCCAGGAAAGAAGAAACTGTAGACGATACTGAGATGACTAGAGCAGCAGCTGAGTGGGCCTTCCAGCTCCGCTGCTTCCTGGGGTGGTCAGTCACGCTCTGCCAGGGTGATTTGTTCCCTTGGGTTTGTTAAGTCTGCACCTTGTGCCTTGAGGCTGTGAAAGGAAAGACTTGAAAACACACCTTGTGCACTAATTCTTCCTCGTCTGCTTCCCTATGGGGCAGGACCCCGGGCTGGTGAAGATCTGGGGCAGGTATTTGCATGGGTGCTCGGGAGCACCGAGGTAGGAAGAGGGTTGATACCGTCGAGCTGTGCCCCACTCACCCCTGTCCAGCGGTGACTGGCTTTTCACAGCGCTCTGTCTTGCTTTGCTTTTCAGCTCTGGCGAGCCTGAGGAAAGGATACCTGTTCATGTATAATCTCGTGCAGTTCCTGGGCTTCTCCTGGATCTTTGTCAACTTGACAGTGCGGTTCTTTATCTTGGGAAAAGGCAAGTAAGGCTAGCCTATTGCTGTGTCGTGGTACACCTTAATTCCCATGGCCTTGTGAAACAAGCAACTGGATACTCTTTCCACTTATCAAGTGAGGAAACAGGCCTAGGGCTGGCCAAAGACACATCCATGTAACTCCCTGTGGGCACATCTTGGGCAAGCAGCCTTTTCTTTGTTCACTACTGGTTTGTTAGTAACTAAATAAATGCTGTCATACTTCCAGCCAAAGTTATGCATGCCCATGAGAGATTGACTTTCTTGAAGCCCAAATAGATTCTAAAGTGCACTGTCCTACAACAGAATGAAAAGATTATCATAAAGATATTAGTTCTTCCTCCATTAATTTGTATGTCTAACAGAATCCTGGCCAAAGCCAATGCCGATGGAAGATTTTTTGAGAATTTGATCTAAGGTATTCTGAAATATTTGGAAGAATAAATAGTTAATAAAATTGAAGGATGAAGGAACTCAAGAGAGCTGTTTTTCTACCAGATGCAAAAGTATGGTAATTAAAGTAGGTATAGCATTAGCATAAGAACAATCAGTAGAGCAGGTTAAGTGGTACATACCTAGCTTTTATCTATATCTGAATACATATGTGATAGAAGAGGAACCTTGAAACACTGGAAAAAGAAATGTTTTCCAGTTGATTTTTGGGATGGGAAATCCAGTATTTCCAAGGAAGCTTACCAAACTTTGGGTACAAGAAATCTGGCTCTTATACTGTATATAAAAAACAGAATTTGAGTCACCTACCAGAAAATTAAATCATGATGGAAGACACAGGTACATATTCATAAAGGTCTCATGTGGAAGGGTAGAACTTCCTAAATAAAAGTGCTAGACAGTGTTGTTTCTAAAAGGTTGATATATTTGACTATGAAATACCTAAATTCCTGTGTATCTGAAAGACCCCAGGTGAGACAGCGGTAAAGATGACGCGCATTTTAAGGTGGAAGGCAGCATGGGGATGGGGGTTGGTTTCTTTATATGTGATTTAAAAATGTGAAAATTGATATAAAAATGTGAAAATTCCACTCAACAGGTAAGTAAAGACATAGACAGGCAATTTGCATAAGAGCAAGTGAAACTGATTTCACATGTGGAAAAATGTTTAACCCAGTGATGGTGGAAGAATGAAAAATAAAGATGTTATTTTTGATTTGTCAGTTTTACAAAGAGCATGTGTTAAAATAGATGCAGCTGAGACTAGCGGAGGCCACCCAAGTCCAGCAGGTGTGCTTGTGGGAAGTCATTTGGCAAGCTGAACTCCTCGTATGTTCCCACCTGTTTATTTCACTTCTGGAAATACATTTTTTAAAAAAGATTTACTTACATGAAAGGCAGAGAGAGAGCGTGAGAGCAGGTACTTCCATCTACTGTCTCACTCCCCAAATGCCAAAGCCAGGAGACTGGAACTGAGTCTGGGGTCTCACATGTGGACCGCTTAGCTGCCTCCCAGGAGCATTAGCAGGAAGCTGGATTGGAAGCAGAGGTGGGACTCAGTCTCAGGCACTGATATGGGTGCAACCATCTCTCTACCTACTGTGGCACAATGCCTGTCCCTGGAATAATTTTTTTTTTTTTTAAAGATTTATGTATTTATTTGAAAGGCAGAGTTAGAGAGACAGAAGCAGAGAGAGAGATATCTTCCATCTCTGGTTCACTCCCCATATGGCTGCAATGGCCAGAGCTAGGCCAATCTGAGGCTAGGAGCCTGGAGCTTCCTGTGGGTCTCCTATGTGGGTGCAGGGGCCCAAGCACTTGCCATCTTCCACTGCTTTCCCAGTCTATAGCAGAGAGCTGGATCGGAAGTAGAGCAGCTGGGACTCGAATGGGTACCCTTATGGGATGACAGCACCGCAGGCAGCAGCTTTACCTGCTATGGCACAGCTTTGCCCCCCAGAATCTGTTTTAAAGAAAAATACTTATGGGAAAAGTTTTCCAAAAACATACGCATTAAGCCATTCTTTATTTTAGTGACAAACTAGAGACTACTTAAATGTCCATCAGTGAGGAATTGCTTTTTTTCCCCCTTGCATACTCATTGGAGTTCAGTGAAGGAAATATGATTTAGTGTTCATAATAACATGGGAAAATACAGTAGACTTAAAAAGTAATCTATAAATTCATTCTTCCAGTTTGATTATGTACATATAGAAAGGGGAAGAAACAGATATTCACAGAAAGATCAGAAGTGGGGGCTGGTGTTTTGGCACACTTGTGGCGCCAACACCCCTCAGAGTACCCATTCGAGGCCGGGTTACTCTGTTCATGATCCAGCTTCTTGCAAGTGCTCCTGGAAAGACAGTGGAAGTATTTGGGCCCCTGCCACCCTGTGGGCCACCAGGATGGAGTTCTTGCCTCCTGTCTTTGGCTTGTCCCAACCTGGCTGTCGCATACATTTGGGGAATGCAATGGGTGGAAACTCTCTTTTTCCTGGTGCCTGCCTGCCTCTCTGTTGGTCTGCCTTTGAAATAAATAAATAAATCTTTAAAAATAATCAGAAGGAATATACCGTTTTCAAATTGAATGTGGGTAGCTTAAAATTTTTGAAGTTTTTCTCTATTTTAAAATATGTGGGAGTATAAATATAATGAGAAATACGTGTATAAGTTACTTGAAAAGAGGGGGAAAAAGGCCTATAGGCTATTTTATTGTTCAGTCCTAAATTTTCCTAGCTGAGGTTTAGAGGCGGTGAATGGTGGTTAGCTCTGGAGTGGAGAAAGGAGGTACATGTCTCCTGCCTCCCCCACAGCCGGGCCGGGGACAGCTTTCCAGCTGTCCAGTGCCTTGAACTCCTGTGGGGCCAGACATATTCTGATGATTGATTTAAAGAAACAAGGGCGGTCTCAGACAGCTACCCTCAGACTACAGCCTCTGTTAGCCTGGATAATCCCGAGTCCCCTGGAGAGGAAAGAGGGACGTTCAGGTGCCTGCTGGCTGGGCTACTGCGTTACCTAGGTCAGGTGTTTAACAAAAGCTGCCTGCATTGCGCCTTTCTATTTGGGCTCTGAGCCTCTTCCTGCCCACCTGCTGGCAGGGAGCTGCTGGTTAATCCTTCAAAGGTGAGCTAATCACCGAGGCTTGTGGTGCAGTTTTCTCCTTTCAGATGAAGATGAGGCTAAATGGCCCATCCCACACACGTGTGTGTCTTTTAGTGTAAACACGTGCTTGATGAACTTAGGCTAAGTGGGAAGTGGCAGCAAACTCTCAGACTATTCTCAATTGAAGTAATTTTACCAGGTAGGCTTTATTATATGGAAACATTTTGTACTCTTACATGTTTGACTGCTTCTACTTTTTCTTTTTCTTTTTTTTTTAAATTTATTTATTTGAAAGGCTGTGCAGCAGAGAATGGGAGAGACAGATTGAGAGAGATCTTCCATCTGCTGGTTCAGTCCCCAGGCGGCTGCAACAACCAGTTCTGGGTCAGGCTGAAGCCAGGAGCTAGAAACCCCATTCTGGTCACCTTTGTGGGTGCAGGCACACAAGCACTTGGGCCGTCACGTTGCTGCTTTTCCAAAAGCATAGCGGGAGGGTTGGATCAGAGGAGGAGAAGCTGGGACTCAGACTTGGAAACCATGCGTTAGAGAACAGCCTTGGTCATGAGGTGTGGTTTTTTTTGTTTGTTTTTTGTTTTTTTTTGCTTATCTAAGTTTAAAATGTTTTCCATTACGGTAGATTCTTTTTCACTTTTTAAGATTTTTATTTATTTATTGAAAGGCAGAGTTACACAGAGAGAGAAGGAGATGCAGAGAGAGAGAGAGAGAGGTCTTCCATCCACTGGTTTACTCCCCAGATGGCCACAATGGCTGGAGCTGAGCCCATCCAAAACCAGGAGCCAGGAGCTGCTTCTAGGTCTCCCACGCAGGTGCAGGGGTCCAAGGACTTGGGCCATCTTTTACTGCTTTCCCAGGCCACAGCAGAGAGCTGGATCAGAAGAGGAGCAGCTGGGACTAGAACCTGGCGCCAATATGAGCTGCCGGTGCTGCAGGCGGAGGATTAACCTACTGTGCCGTAGCATAGCCCCAAGGTAGATTCTCAGAATAAGAATTAATAGGTCTAAAGATGCAAGTGGCGCATAGGCATTTGGTTAAGTGATCAAGATGCCACATTCCGTATCAGAGTGCTTGGGTTGAGTCCTGACTCCATGTCCAATTCCAGCTTCCTGCTCGTGTGCGCCATGGGAGGCAGCCGATGGTGGCTCAAGTACTTGGGTCCCTGTCGCCTTCATGAGACACCTGTATTGAATTCCAGGCTCCTGCTTTGGCTTTGGCCCAGCTCCAGTCATTTTGGCCATTTGGGGAGTGAACCAGCAGATGGAAGATCTCTCTGACTCTCTCTCTCCCTTTCTCTCTCTGTAGCTCTGCTTTTCATATAAATAGATAAATCTTTAAAAAGATTACATTCAGTATATGTGATGCAGTTAAATGAGGTAGCATCTGAAGAGAATTACCACAGTGTCTGATGCGTAGTTTTTCTTAGGATAGTGAACTGAATGAAGTCCAGAGTGCTTTATCCTAGGCCTTTAGAGAATGAGGAAGGCACACAGGGCTTATGTGGTAGCTTTCTAGAGAGGCCTGCCTGCCTCTGGCTTAGCTTAGGAACGTGGCTCGCTGGCCGCTCGACCTTTCCGGAAGCTCCTTGCACGGAGGGCCCCGTCCAGCGTGCAGGTGGTTTACCTGGCGTGCTTGTGCCCGCAGAGTCTTTCTACGACACGTTCCACTCCGTGGCCGACATGATGTATTTCTGCCAGATGCTGGCAGTGGTGGAAACCATCAACGCAGCGATTGGAGTCACCAAGTCGCCGGTGATGCCGTCTCTCATCCAGGTATCGGTTAGCTGGGCTCGGAGCGGGGAGTCAAAGCTGGCAGTATTTGTCCAGCCGGGACATCAGCCTCAGTGAGAACACCGGTTCGCACGGAGATAGTGTGGTTTTACCTGAATAAGAGGAAAATTATAAGCCGCAGGGGTGTTTTCAGGAGGCTGACCATTGCAGGTCTCTTTCATTATTTGCAACACCCTCATGAAATTACCTGGTTATGGAAAGAGCTTGGAAACTTAGCAAGTTTGATTCTCAGGGCAGAAAAACCTGTCTTAGATTGCTTAGAAATGCACTTGGGCTCTTCCCCCACGGTTGACATGAGGCAGCGACACCCTTGAATGCTGTCGCTCTGGGCTTCCTTCCCTGCACATGGTGGCTTTTCTGAGTGGGTGTGGGGAGTCCCCCCCGCTCGCCCCCGTCCATCTGCATAGTTTCCGGATCCTTGGAAGAGTGGGGGCATGGCGGTCTGCATCCTCCTCGCCCCGTTTCTTGGCTGTGTAGTAGCGTACCATTAAGTGCCTCCTACCCAGATGCGGGGTGACCCCAAGACTCCTGGTTATTAGTCTCTTCTGGAGAACCCTTTGCCTGGTTGTCCCTTTTTCTCTATAACACCTGTGGCGTTCTAGCAGTGTTGGTTATGAAGTTAGTTAGCCTTGTGGTTCGGGGTTTCTTGCTTTTGGAAAGAGACTGTTTTGTTTTAAAAATAAAAGAGTGTAGTAAGTTAGCTCACTAATACAGAATAATACTCTGTGTGTGTCAAAGATGATTAAAAACAAGCCTTGGGGGCCAGCACCATGTCACTTGGTTAATCCTCTGCCTGCGGCGCTGGCATCCCATATGGGCACTGGATTCTAGTCCTGGTTGCTCTTCTTCCAGTCCAGCTCTCTGCTGTGGCCCGGGAGGGCACTGGAGGATGGCCCAAGTGCTTGGGCCCTGCATGAGAGACCAGGAGAAGCACCTGGCTCCTGGCTTCGGATCGGTGTAGTGCTGGCCATTGCGGCCTTTTGGGGAGTGAACCAGCGGAAGGAAGACCTTTCTGTCTGTCTGTCTCTCTCACTAACTCTGTCAAAAAAAAAAAAAAAAAAAAAGTTCTCCTTGGTGAAAATAAATTAAAAAAAAAAAAGCCTTAAAATGGGATTTGTCAGTACCGTCACAGTGCCTGGCTCCAAGGAAAGTCTTCCCCGTGGGGACGGCAGTGTGAGGGAAGCCCCTGAGGTTGGGCAGTGCCTTGGGATTCGGCAGGGCTGCTTTGTTTCGACACTGGAGCCAAATTGACCACAGCAGGTTTTTTGGATCAGTTGATATATGTTGAGCACTTGCTGTGTGCACATGAAAAGTAGTCACAGCCCATGAGGACCTGAGCAACAACCAGAATGCAGTTTCCTAGGTAGCAGATGTGGGAGTGGGTAGAAAAGAACACCAGGGGCCCAGGAAACCAGGCACAAATGGGTACTTCTTTTTACGGTCCTTTGAGGAGAGTTCAGAGAGTTAGAGACCCAGTATCTAGCCTAAGTGGGGTGATAAGAAACGTCTTCTGTTATAAAGTAATCACCAGGGACTCATAAGTGTGTTTACCTGGCTTGCAAAGACGGCTGAGAGCTTCTGTCTGAGGAAACGGGCAGCTTATGTGGCTTATGTGACTGTCCTGCGGAGAATGCTAACTGAGATAGGAGGGACACCAGTGCACGGGTGACAGCAGCCTCCAGGTGAAGTGACTGCTGGAGCCTACCTAGGTGACCTGAGCATTGGTACTGCATTTTGCAAAACCAGATACACTTAAACTTGTTTTACGGTGTAGGAGACACACAAACTCAGACCCTGATAGAAGCGGGCAGTCTAGTAAGAGACCTTCCCTGGTAAGGCAGATGACAAAGAACTGCATATAAGGTGGATTAGAAATAATCCTTGAGTCTGTTAAGAAAACAATCGTCGCAGATGCCAGTGCTGCCAGAGGCTGGGCGAGTGCTCTAAGGATGCAGAACCGTCAGCATGTCTTTCTTTTTTTTTTTTTTAAAGATTTATTTTATTATTTGAAAGACAGTTACAGAGAGAGCTAGAGACAGAGAGAGAGGTCTTCCATCAGCTGATTCATTCCCCAGATGGCCGCAACGGCTGGAGCTGCACCGGTCCGAAGCCTGGAAGCCAGGAGCTTTCTTCCGGATCTCCCACGTGGGTGCAGGGGCCTGAGTGCCTGGGCCACCTTCCACTGCTTTCCCAGGCCATAGCAGAGAGCTAGATTGGAAGAGGAGCAGCTGAGACTCGAACCGGTGCCCATGTGGGATGCCGACGTTTCAGGCCAGGGCTTTAACCTGCTGTGCCACAGTGCTGGCCCCAGCATGTCTTTCAAATGGATTTGTGATGTGAATGGATACCTCCCAGCTGTTTAAAACATCTCCAGCTCAAGCCAGCATTGTGGTGCTGCAGGTTCAACTGCCGCTTGGGACACTGGCATCCCGTATCCGAGTGCCAATTTGAGCCTTGACCCCGGCTGCTTGGCTCCCCCCCTCTTCTTTCTGCTCTGCTTCTTCTTCTTCTTCTTCTTCTAATTCCTGAAATATTTTATTGTAGCATAAAAATCCAACAGTTTCCAAAGTGTGGTTCTGTTTTTCCTCCGTCAAAACCAGAATCGCTCCTCTTCAACTGCAGAACTTATAAATGAGATACTTAACTGCATAAATATTGGTTAATAAATATTGGTTACTGCATTTGGAAATACAGTTTGTGATATCTTTGATTAAATTTATTTGTTTTTTTTTTTGAGGTTTTCACGTGAGGATAAAATGAACACAGCTAGGACTGATAAGTTGTTAGGGAATATTCCTTAATTTTAACAGCAGAAGAAATGCAGAGCAACATGAGTGCACGAATACTACTGGGAGACCCATTAGGGCTCCTCAGTAGTCACGTGTATGTTATCAGTTCCTACAGACCATTACTGTTGGATAACTTTTTTCCACATTCTGAAGTATCCAGGTATCCATCTCAGTACCTGTACATTAATCTCTCAGTATAATAACTGCATAGTTTCACCCATGAAAGCTTTTAGAGTAGATTTACATTTATAGAAATGTTGAGAAGATAATAGAGTTTCCCTATACCCTATGCCGAATATCTCCTGTTATTAAAATATCCCCTTACTACAATTTGCTACAATTGATTACCCACTGTTGATGCATTGCGATTAAACCGAAGTCCATGGTTTATTCCGATGTGCTAGTTCAGGCTTCATGTCCTCCTTCTGCTGAGATCCCATTCAGGATTTCATGTTACATTTAGCTCATGTCCTCTGGGATTCTTGGCTCTGAGTTTCCCCGACTTGCCTTCTTTTTCATATCTTGCCAGTTTTGAGGACAAGTGCTTGGGTATTTTGTAGAATATCCCTCAACTGAAAATTTTCTGATCTTTTTTTTCTCATGATCAACCAAGGTTATGAGTTTTGTGGAGAAAAAACCACAGAAGTAAAGTGTTAGAATCATCATGACTATACTTTTTTTTTTTTTAAGACTTATTTATTTGAAAGAGTTTCAGAGAGAGGCAGAGAGAGAGAGAGAGAGAGGTGTTTTCCATCTGCTGGTTCACTCCCCATATGGCCGCAATGGCCGGAGCTGCGCTGATCTGAAGCCAGGAACCAGGAGCTTCTTCTGGGTCTCCCACGTGGGTGCAGGGGCCCAAGCACTTGGGCCATCTTCCACTGCTTTCCCAGGTGCATTAGCATGGAGCTGGATCACAAGTGGAGCAGTTGGGACTCGAACCAGCGCCCATATGGGATGCCAGCACTGCAGGTTTTACCCTCTACACCACAGTGCTGGCGCCACGACTATACTGTTAACATGACTTAGAAATTGTGGATGTTAACGTTGATGAGCTGAAGTAGCGAGCGTCAGGCTTCTGCAAAGGCTCTCAGACTTAAAATTCGGGTTCCTCAGAGCCAGTAACCTACAATCTGGACTCCTGCCGCTTGACGCCCTTTGTTGAGTCTGTCATCTGGGCCAGGAAACTTAACATCTGTTAAAAGCATATTGCAGAAATGCAGCTTGTGCTCCACGGTGCTGAAATGCATCCGTTCCCTAACGCAACACAAGCCTGTTGTGAGAGAAAGTAATCTCTGAGTTCTTTCCCTAAGATAAATTTTGTCAGAAGGACAAGAGTGTTTACCATGTACCTCTCTGTAGCCATGTATAAGCTTTTGGCCATGTTTTCCTTTAAATCTATTTTAACCTCATAAAGGTAGAAATACATACCTCTTTCAACTTGTAATGTGTCAAATGTGTGTGTTGCTTTGTAGTTTAATGGCACTGCTGTCTAGAAAGCTGTTTGGAAACAAGAAATATATTTCCTAGTGACTGGAACATATTTCAGCTGAAGCAGCAAGTTGGTTATAAGGCCCTAGGTAAATTTCAGAAAATAGGAAGCAAGCCAGTCAAACAGAAGCGTAGCAGGCCTCTCAGGCTAACCAAAGCTTCGTGTCTTTCTCATTTTGCTTTCGTGAGTCCCACAGAGTAAATGATGTTGCTCAAAGTGAAATGTAGCCCTGTATTTTCACTCATTCTTTCAACAGATGCTGGATTCAGATCAAGCTCAAGTTTCAGAGCCACCCTGTCCACATCAGTGACAAAACGATTACATTGTGTGTTGCTATTTTGCTTTAAATTCTGTTCTGCTCCTGATCCAGCTTCCTGCTAATGCTCCTGGAAGGCAGCAGATAATGGCCCACGTGGGCCTTTGCACGCATGTGAGAGACCCTTGGTGGAGCTCCTGGCTCCTGGCTTCAGCCTCGTCCAGCTCTGGCTGTTGCAGCCATTTGGGGAGTGACCCAGTGGATGGAAGACCTCATTTCTTTCTGTGTGTCCCTCCCTCTGAGACTCTGCCTTCCCAATTATTATTTATTTATTTAAAGTTCCCAAGCTTAGTCTACTTAAAGCGTACCTGTCCTGCTGGTTGTCCTCAGATGCTGGCAGCGGCACACACGAATGTCTTCTGGAAATAACAACCTTGTCCAGGCCTCAAAATTCACACAGATCTGTTTCCAACGAGAGTCGTCGGATTGTGAACCAAAGGAGCAAGGCTTTGTGGGCAAGAACCAGCAGGAACAGCAGACTGTAGAAACAGCCCCACAGGAGTTCAGATACTAGAATTATCTGCCGTGGAGTGGGAAATAGTCAAGCTTAACGAGTGCTTGATTGATCAGGAAACTAAAGATAATGATCAGTTCTGAAAAGGAGGCGAGTGGAATGTCTGTTAATGGCAGATACAGTCATCAAATTTTAACACTGAATGGATAGTTTAGTAGTAGATTAGACACAGCTGAAGAGATAATTAATGAACTGTTTGAGATGCAGGAAGGAATACAGAGCATAAAAAGTAAATACACAGGCATACTTGTCTTGAATGGTAGGTAAGGTAGTATTCCAGTGCTGTTAGCGTGCTGTAACACTGATGAATCACACTAAGTGAAGTAGACCCATCACAGCAAGACGAAGACTGTGTGATTCCGCTTAAATGAGTGATTCATACTAATCACAATCATAGAGACAGAAAGCAGAGTGGTGGTCGCCGGGGGCTGGGGAGTGGGCAGTTACCATGTGATGAATCAGTCTCAGTCCCCCCCCCCCCCCCAGTGTGATAAACTTATTTACAAAGTGAGAAAAATACACAGGCTCATTAGGGCTTTATTTAGGCCTGTTTAATTCTCAAAGAAAGGGAATTATCATACCCTGCTCAGCTCATCCTGAGTACACAAGGAGAACTTTTTTTTTTTTTTTTTTAAAGATTTTATTTGAAAGGCAGAGTTATAGAGAGGCAGAGAAGGAGAGAAAGAGAGAAAGTGACAGAGAGGTCTTTCATCCACTGGTTCACTCCCCAGATGGCTGCAATAGCAGGAGCTGCGCCAATCAGGAGCCAGGAGCTTCTTTCGGGTCTCCCACATGGGTGCAGGGGCCCAAGGTCTCCCTTAGACCTTTTGTTCTGTCTCTCCCTCTCACTGTCTATAACTCTAATTCTCAAAATAGATAAAATCTTTAAAAAAAAAAAAAGCAAGGGTTCAGGAATATTATTTTCAAGAAGGACTTAGTTGGGGGATTATTGTACAAGAAATCAAAATGTGACAAGCATTTGGAAGTTAACGTGGTATGGTACGAAGATAGCACAGAGACTACAGAGTAAAACCCAGCTCTGCTGAGAGGGACGTGTACAGCAGTGACAGTGGCACCTGGACACAGTGGGATTTCAGAAGGTGAAACTGCTGGTGAGGACCGCGTGCCCATGAAGGAAAGGGGCGGGCTGCTTCCCACGAGACCCGTGCGGGACAGCCACGCGTGTTCGTGTCCTGCTTTCTAGAAGGCTGGTCTCGGCAGTTTGAATGTGCGTGTATTCACAGCTGTTACATATCACATGCACAGAAGTGTCTCTGTCCAGCAAGACCGGCTTGGGCGCTTTAATTTGTTCCGAAACTGGAACAGGATTAACCCAGTCAGGCTCAGGATTTCCATTTACTTTGCATTTGGTAGGGTTAGGTTTCAGGTAAAAAAAAATTATATTAACTTTTTTTCCCCCTCTCTTTTTGATCTTTTTAACAGCTTCTAGGAAGAAATTTCATTTTGTTTATCATCTTTGGCACCATGGAAGAAATGCAAAACAAAGCTGTGGTTTTCTTTGTGTTTTATTTGTGGAGCATAATAGAGATCTTCAGGTGGGTAGACATGCCAGGGGCACGTTGGCGAGCTGCTCGTGTGCTCGCTCGCTTGCTCTCCCTCTCGCTCTCCCTCTCTTTCTCCCTCTCTCTGGAATAGCTCTCTTCATGAGGGAGTTGGGGTCTTAGCCAGAGTGTCATTGAGTTTGGATTCAGATCATGTCTACATGGAGAATTCTAGATGTGTCTATGTGTTCTACAAGGGTGAGGCAGATTCGGTTTTTTAATTTTAAATTTTTAAACTTGTTTTTATCCAGTTTACTTGACAGAGATAGACAGACTGACAGCCATCTCTCATCTTCTGGTTCACTGCCCAAATGCCCACAGCAGCCAGGGCAGGGCCAGCCCAAAGGCAGAAGCTGGTAACTCCATCCAGGTCTACCGGAGGGGTGGAAGGGACCCGACCCCGAGCTCTCACCTGCTGCCTCCTAGTGTTCCATCAGCAGCGGATCTGGGAGCGGAGCCGGCACGTGAAGGCTGGCACTCCAGCGTGAGGTGCAGGTGTCTCAGTGGTGCCTACCCCAGGGCAGATTTTTCAAAAAGCAGTCACTGGACCATATACAGCCTGGTGGGCACTAGCAGCAGAAAGAGGGAAGCAGCGAGGTGAAGGCCCGCCCTAGTGTGACTTGGGTCCCTGCTGTCTTGTTAGAAAGGCCTGAGACTCACCCACCTGGGAGAGGCCTTGAGAGGACTGAAAAGCTGTGGCGTGGAAGGAGCAGTCCAAGCTGCAGGGAACCAGCCGAGACCAGCCTCTAGAAAATGACCCACGTTTTAAATTGGCTCTTACCTGATTTTTCCTTTCTCAGTTGTTAATAGAAGAAATGCCTTTTTAAAAAGGGACCCAGGAGCCAGTGACGTGGTGCACCAGGTTAGGCTACTGCCTGTGTCGCCAGCATCCCACGTGGGCACTGTTTTGAGTCTCAGCTGCTCCACTTCTGATCCAGCTGCCAGCTAATTTGCCCGGGAAGGCAGTGGAGGATGGCCCGAGTGCTTGGGCCCTGCACCCACATGAGGGTGTGTGAAGCTCCTGTCTTTGGGCCGACTTAGCCCTGGCCATTGTGGCCATTTGGGGATTGCAGTGAATGGTAGAGCTCTCTGTAACTTTGCCTTTCAAATAAATAAGTGAATGAATCTTTAGAAAACAATTTAACAATCGGCCTAAGTAAAGTGCAACTACTTTCATTCTTCTGCACCACACTGTGCGTGTTCCATGTTTGTTCCCTTTCCAGTCGAGTGTGAGGCAGGGGTTTTCCATGCTGACTCCTTAGCTCTGGTCTTGGTGTTCTTTTTTTTTTTTTTTTTTTTTTTTTTTTTAATTCATTTATTTGAAAGAGTTACACAGAGAGAGAAGGAGAAGGAGAGGCAGAGAGAAGGAGAGAGGGGTCTTCCATCCTCTGGTTCACTCTCCAGTTGGCCACAATGGCTGGAGCTGTGCCAGGAGCCAAGAGCTTCTAACGGGTCTCCCACGTGGGTGCTGGGCCCAAGGACTTGGGCCATCTTCTACTGCTTTCCCAGGCCGTAGCAGAGAGCTGGATCAGAAGTGGAGCAGCCAGGCTTTGAACTGGCGCACATATGGGATGCCGGCACTGCAGGCAGCGGCTTTGCCTGCTATGCCACAGTGCCAGTCCTCGGTCTTGGTGTTCTTGGGGCAGCGTTCATAGCGGAGAAGGAGAGCAGGCGGCAGCATCCTGCAGTTGGGATGTAGCCGTGGGCCGTGTCTCGCAGCTCTGACTACTCTGCAGAACTGCTAATACAAAGATGGAGCAGATTCAAGGGCCCTCTGGTAACCTGTCCTCTTTGGAGGGAGACGGAGCTCTTCTCTGTGTCATCTGTTTCTCAATAGTGTGGTTTTGTCTGTATCCCAGGGGCTGGGTGTTCTTTTGATAACAGTTCATTCGCCTGGAGACATTGTCCGCCATCTTTATCCTTCTGGAGATCAGAACTAGGAACGAAACCACAAAGCTGTGAGCTCCCCACCCGTATCTGAGCCAACAGGGTTCCTTGGAGACTTACACTTCGTCTGCCCTTAAGGAGCCGTCACATCCCGTGAAGATTTAGGAGTAGCACGATGAGGGTCTGTGGGAGGGTAGCTGGGACTCGCCGTGCTGTTGTGAGAACGCGTGGGCGGCTGGTTCAGAAGCGATCAGCGCGCACACACGCGGTGCTGCTCGGGGTCGCGCCCAGCACCAGAGGTGGCTTCTGAGCCGGGACCGCTGTTCTCGCAGGTACCCCTTCTACATGCTGGCCTGCCTCGACATGGATTGGAAGGTGCTCACGTGGCTGCGCTACACCGTGTGGATTCCCACCTATCCCCTGGGGTGCCTGGCTGAAGGTATTTGCTGCCACTCCCGGTTTCCGGGGACTAAGGGCCAGCCTTCCTCCCCTCTCCAGCCTGCGTCTGAGAAGTCAGCGTTCGTCCTTGTGTCTCCCTTCCGTCATACTCCCGCTGCCCGGAATGTCCAGGGAAGCTGCTGCTTGTGGGAGGTCTGGAAGCTGCGTGGTCCGCGCCGCGTGCTGCCCTGGAAGCAGGCTCTCTCCGCCGCCTGCCTCGCGTGCTGACGACACCTCGGGAGCGGCGGGCGGCGGTTTCTCTGCGCTCCGCAGAGCGGGAAGCTGAGGCCCACTGTCCTGACTGCTGCTCCTTCATCTCTGTTGGCAGTGTGGAAGCTGGGGGAAGGGAGAGGCGCGCGCGCTCGGGAGGAGGGCGGGGGCTGGGCTGGCACCGCTGCACGCTCTGCCCTGTGGCTGAGGCGCTGTGTTTGCTTCCAGCTGTGTCTGTGATTCAGTCCATTCCGGTGTTCAACGAGACGGGCAGGTTCAGCTTCACGTTGCCTTACCCCGTGAAGATCAAAGTCAGGTTCTCCTTCTTTCTTCAGATTTATCTTATAATGCTATTTCTAGGTAAGTATTCTCTAACAGACCTTCCCCTCCGCGTTCCGGGGCAGAGCTAAGTGCCTGGGAGGTTCAGAGTCCTCATCTCCAGGCACAGGGCTGTTGGGTGGAGTGGGGCGGCCTGTGATAGACCCACTGCACAGGGTGGGTGGGGTGGGGCGGCCTCCCCAGTGCTCCCGGTCATGGGGGACGTCACGGGCGGGCTGGCTCTCGTTGAGAAGCATCGAGGCGCTTCACTCGCAGTCATCCCTCCACCGCTGACGGAGGCGGCCCTATGGCGGGTGGCCAGGAAGAGGAAGGACGCAAAGGCCTCTGAGCAGCCCCCGGCTGTCCTAGAGCCCACTCCCCAGGGAAGGAGCCCAGCCGCTCACGTCAGACCGGTTTGCTTATCAGTTCATGTTGGTATAAAGTCCTAACTCCTGTCTTAACTCATAAGAACTAAATTAAGGGCGGGGGGGGGGGGGGATGTAAAACTAAAGCATTACAAGTGAGAAAAAATTTTTTTTAATATTTATTTATTTATTTGAAAGTCAACGTTACACAGAGAAGGAGAGGTCTTCCGTCCGCTGGTTCACTCCCCAATTGGTAGCAACGGCCAGAGCTACGCATATCCACAGTCAGGAGCCAGGAGCTTCTGGGCCTCCCACGCGGGTGCAGGGGCCCAAGCACTTGGGCCATCTTCTACTGCTTTCCCAGGCCATAGCAGAGAGCTGGATCGGAAGTGGAGCAGCCAGGACTTGAACTGGCGCCCATATGGGATGCCGGTACTGTAGGCAGCAGCTTTACCTGCTGTGCCACAGTGTCTGCCCCTCACTGTTGATTTATAGATTTCTCCTTGTTCTGTTTCACAGAAGACCTGAAGTGACCCAAGTATAGCTGTCTGGTCTCCTAGTAACAGAAGGCCATGGCAGCAGCTGGTTGCCCATTGCTGTGTAACAAGTTAGCTCAAAACTCAGCAGCTAAAAAGACATTGCCCACGTCGCCTCGTCTCTGAGGGTCGGGGAATGGCCTAGCTGGGTGGCTCTGGCTCAGGGTCTCTCCTGAGGTTTGTCAAGCTGGCCGCAGGGCTGTAGTTTGTGTAGACTCGCCTGGGGTTGGAGGGTCTGCTCCAAGCCCACCCCTGTGGCTGTTGCTGGGAGGCTGGCGTTTCTGGCCACAGTACCTCCCTGTGTGGCTGCTCGTGACCTGGCTTCCTCCAGAGCAAGTGAACAGAGAACCAGGATCTCAGCTGTGCTGTGCCATGCAGACCAGCCGCGAGGGGCAGCACAGGGATATGAAATAGGAGGCCGTGGTCATTGGAGATTATTTTATTTTAGATTTATTTATTTGAAAGGCCGAGTTACGGAGAGGAGACACACAGGGAGAAAGAGACAGATCCGTCCGCTGGTTCACTCCCCAAATGGCTGCAATGGCCGGGGCTGGGCCAGGCTGAAGTAAGAAGCCTGGAACTCCATTCAGGTCTCCCACATGGGTGCAGGGACCCAAGTACTTGGGCCATCATCCGCTGCCTTCGCAGGTGCATTAGCAGGGAGCTGGACTGGAAGTGGGGCAGCCTGGGACTTGAACTGGCATCTTTTGGGATGCTGGTGTTGCAGGTGGAGGCTGTTCCTGCTGTGCCCTGCCACCGGCCCCTGGCAGTTATTTTCGAGGCTGGCTTCCCAGGCCAGAGAGACGCGCTCAGGCAGTAAGCCTGCGAAGCCGGAAAGCCCAGTGGGCTTGCTCACTTAGTGCAGGGTCGAAGAGACCTACACCCTTGAGGAGTTCCTCGGGGCAGCACATGGCAGCTGGGCAGTTAAACAGTAGATTTATAGGGGTCTAGGTCATTTGTGAAAGGCTCACTTTTATTCCATTTCTTACTTTCAGCAAAGTATATAATCCATATCAGAAATATTTCTGGCCAAGCCGGTGCCGCGGCTCACTAGGCTAATCCTCCGCCTTGCGGCGCCGGCACACCGGGTTCTAGTCCCAGTCGGGGCGCCGGATTCTGTCCCGGTTGCCCCTCTTCCAGGCCAGCTTGCTGCTGTGGCCCGGGAGTGCAGTGGAGGATGGCCCAGGTACTTGGGCCCTGCACCCCATGGGAGACCAGGATAAGTACCTGGCTCCTGCCATCGGATCAGCGCAGTGCGCCGGCCGCAGCGGCCATTGGAGGGTGAACGAACGGCAAAGGAAGACCTTTCTCTCTCTCTGTCTCTCTCTCTCACTGTCCACTCTGCCTGTCAAAAAAAAAAAAAAAAAAAAAATTTCTGGCCAAAAATGTTGAAATGTTTGTCTCTTGGAGAGAGTAGGCTTGGCTTTGGAAAATGCACTCACTAAAAGCCATATAAATCCAGTGTTGTATTAGCGTGGCCTCATGAACTGGGCGTGATGAAAGTGAAGAAGAGGAAGGATTCTGAGAGAGACAGTACCGCGTCTCCCTGAAGGAGTTCAGAGCTGTCGTGGTGCCTGCTCGCTCTTGGATCTTTGGGTTATTTTTACTGCCGCATACTCTGACCTGCCAGGTTTTATGCTCATATTGCATTTGCTTGTACCGAGTATGTGGGGGTTATTTTTCAGGATGAAGTAAATCCTGAATGCACACTCACAGTCGTGAGACTCCTAAGCAGCCAGCTTGTGTATGGGTCAGTCTTTGAAGATTTTGTAACACAGGACCAAATCAGGTTGCCGGTTCAGTGAGGAACTGGGTGTCCATTGTGCATGGTTAATCATTTGTTCCAGGCGGACTTCCTGAGTAGTCGCAATCAGCGAGGCGCTGTGGGAGCTGAATCAGACTGGAGACCTTCAGACAAAGATTCAAACACTCTCCTTTCTAATTGGCTTCTTTTCTTTTTCAGGGTTATACATAAACTTCCGTCACCTTTATAAGCAGCGCAGGCGGCGCTATGGGCAAAAAAAGAAAAAGGTCCACTAAAAAGAGAGCTGTAGATGGCTTCTTACCAGTTTGAGCCGGATCTGTGTTCTTACAGTTTTACCTTCTTGTACTGATGTAAAAGTTTTTTTTTTTTTTTTTTTTTTAAAGTTAAATGATTCAGTTCTCAGTGAGGCTTTCTTCCTTTCCCCCAGTAACAGTCCTGAACTTCCTGTATTATCTTAGTGTAGTACCTGCATGACATGGATTCCTGACATCTGACGACAGGGTCATTCTCGTGTGTTCAGTGAGAGCAGGAGGCTCAGCCCCACCCCCACCCCCACCCCCACCCCCGCTGCCACGCTAGCGAGGCTGTGTCAGTGCGGTTTGCTACAAGATGCGGGCCACTCTCACAGTGGGATTTGTTCTGGTAAACAAAAGCAAGGCTGTATTGCGGAATCGAAGGAAGGCTGCCAAGAGGGACTGAGACAGGGCCCAGCAGGACCCTGTACCTGAGGGGCTGCTTGTTCGGTGGGGTGATGCTGACTTTTTGAACATCGTATTAGTCACTGATAAAACAGTTCTGAGTCCGAGAGGGGCTGGCGAACATGTCTTTTGCACCTGGCATCTTTTGGCCTAACAACATCTGTTAGTTAGCACAGTGCTTGCCACTGTGGGCACTGGAGAAGCACAGAATGAGTTGAGAAGATCCAGTCAGAACCTTGGAACGCCATGATCATTTTATTCCTAGCTAAATCAGAACCATTTTCAACACTAAAGGACTGTGAAAATCAGTGAGATTATAAGCGTTCCAAACTTAAATGGCTACAGGGATCAGGAGGAGACCAGCGTGTGGGTCAGATTGGCAGTGAGCTGCTGGCCACGCAGTCGGGGCCAAGTGGCAACACTAGAGTGGTTCAGACACCTACAGAACCGCGCACAGAGCCATGCACAGCCTGAACAAAGGCCGTCTTCCCACACTCGCTGAGTCCGTTTACTGGTGTGTTTGTCCGAGTGAATGGTGAGACTACATTTTTGAACCTCAAAACCGCCTTTTATTCTGCTGTCATTAGCTTTTTTTTAAAAAAACCTGTCTGGAGTAGAACACTGCAAATGGAGCAGGGACTGGCTGCTACCAGCTAATCCTTTAACAAGGATTCCTGGCAGGAAAGCTACCAGAAGGGGAACAAAAATATTAGGGCTGGCCATTGTGAAAAAATAAAAATCAGTTTCCTCTAAGACATTCCAAGCCAAGTTAGAAGTAGCACCTGTATAGAAGGATTGCAGGCATAACAGCTCCCCACTGTTCCTGGGGGAAGAGAAACTCAGGGGATGAATTAGTGCCGTTTCACTGAGAAGTTGGAAACTTGGCTGACCTAACGTGTCTGATGAACTGATTTTGAAAAAGCCATTGCACTGAAGGGTGTTCTGCGCGTGTGTGGTTTCTGTCAACGCTCGTCTGTACCGCCTTCTGATGCTGACTGACTGTGTGTGACATCACAGCAGGTGCTGCTGCATCCTGTGGCAGAATCCTGATTCTTAGTGATTATTTCAAGCCCCTTTACTGCTGTCTGAGAAAGTGGAAGATTGTGTATTTCTATTAAAACATTTACAATCAAAATCCTAATAGTGTGTGCTTAAGGATCATTTCATCCAATGGGTTCAAAGTGTAGGTGATAGAGTTCTTTGTTCAAGCAGTGTTTTGTAGCAGTTCCGTGTGTTAAACAACAAATGGGTTGGAGCCTGAAGGAGTTGAGCCCTAGGAAGGTCACAGCACGCTGGAGGAAACAGAGCCTTGAGAAATCAGATGACTTGGCCACGGTCACGAAGCCAGCGGATGGACTGGAACCCCAGCTGCACTTTGGAAATCTGTTGGCCAGAAGCTGGCGTAGACAGCAAGGCCTAATGAGTGAGCTGACTGATGAATCACTACCTCTCAGGAAGCTGCAATCATTCAAGGGATAGGACAGACCAAAAAGCAAAGGACCATTAGTTTTACAGTGAAACCATTTTATAGAAAATTGAGTATTTTCATTAAAAAAATTGAAATGGGGATCATTTATATTTGTGGTTGCTGTTTAAAAGTCTGGAACTCAAACATACCAGAAGTGCCTAAAGGTTTCCAGTTTCCCAAGTTCTAAGAAGTTCGACACGTAGTGGTGTTGAGACAGTGTGGACTGCTCGTCCCGAGGACAGAGCTTGGCAGTGTCCTGACGCTGAGCTACAGAGCTGGAGGGAAGAGCAGGCTTCCAGGGAGCAGGGAGCCCTGGCCGCTGAGGTTTCCTGGGCAGGCAGGGAGCCCTGTGCTCACCACCCAGTCTTTCAAGCTTCTCATGAGATGCGCCCATCACACGAGCGGCAGCTGTCCTTTGGGCTTACAGATTACAGGCCCTGGAAACTGGCCGGCCTCGGGGCCTTCTCACAGGGTTGTTCAGAGCAGCAAGTAGCAGTTCTGAGGGAGCCCTCGGGGCCCTCTGGGTGGCTGCACCAGCAGGGCCCGCGCTGGAAAGGTCTTTACCCTCGTTTTCAATTGCAGTGAAGGAGGCTCCAAAAGTCAGCTTCACAGTCGCTCGGCGCTGCTCCCAGAGAAGTCTGTGTGCAGAGGTGTGATGTTGTGGTCGTAGGCAGCATACTCGGAGGTGCCTGTGCTGGCCAGCTTGAGCTGCTGGGCGGCGTGGGTGAGCTGGAAAGCAGCGTCAGGGTGGGCCGTGTCAGGCAGCAGTGTGCACTCCCGCTCCAGCATGTCGGCCACCCCCTTGAGCAGGTCCAGGAAACCAAAGGCCAGGGCGGCCTTCCGTAAACGGTTCAGCTCCTGAAACGGGAAACCCCAGTGCTCTGCCATGTGTTCTCATCACACTAAGTTCCCCTTCGCCCTAAACTTTATAGGGAACATTTTCTGTGAGAACAATATTGAGGCGTTTTAATTTCTTTGTTCACTTGAGAGACAGAGCTCCCATCTGCTGACCCACGTGGGTGGCAGGGACCCAAACTACTTAAACCATCGCCCCTGCCTCCAGGGTGCACCGGCACTGTGATAGGGAATGCGGGCCTCTCAGGTGGAATCTTGACTGCCATGCCAATGCCCATCCCCAAGGTGGAGATGCCAGAAAGGCGAGGTGGCCAGCTGCTGCTGAGGAGGACAGCTGACTGAAATAGGCTGCCGCCATCTTAGCGAACATCTGTGCCAAACATGGTGAGTACGTTGCATACATCATTTCATTCACTTGTCAACTACAAGGAGGGTCACCTTTCCTCTGTCATTTAGACTTGGAAAGGGCGTGCCCTAACTCTCTCAGTGCCCCTCTGCTGGGGCCTGACTCCCTGAATGAACATGTTCCGAGGAGGCCCTGGAGACAAACAGGAAGGCAGGCCACCACAAAAGGTGGGGGAGTAGATGGGAGCAAAGAAATACACAGTGCCCACCAAGCTCTTGTCCGTGCTGAGAACCATTCCTTGCTCACCGTGGGGGCTGAGGCGGTCACTTGCCAGAGGGCCTCCCTGAGCTCTGCTATGTAAGATCTCAGCAAAGCAGAAAAGAGGAATGGGCTCTCTGACTACATCTCTGCTGTCATCAGACAGAAGCTGAGAAGGCCAAAGCAGTCACACAAGCGTGCCACACTAAACAGGGAGCTGCCAGCCGTGTGTGGAGTCTGCAGGGACTGGGACTGGGACTGCGACAGTGGCCAGAGTGGTCAGGAAGTGCCTGTGTAGATTACGGGCTTCAGCTAGGGAGGGGCTTGGCTGGCTGAGCAACTGGTTTGAACTCTGATTAAAGCTGCCTTTGCTCGATTTCACCAGCTTGCTTCATAATTAGCTTTGAAGACAGCAGCAATACGGTAATGCGATAACATCCCAAGTAGTACTGTGTGTTCTCTGGGAAGACGCTAGCCTGGGGCTGCCTGCGTGTGCCACATCTTGATTAGCAAACTAGGACACAACACAGCTCACCTTTCACCACACTTAATTTAATTCCAGCCAAACACCAGAAACGTGGGAGAAACAAGGAGGGAGCCCTCATGTGTAACTTGATCGGCTTTGCCAGGGGTTCAGAACTGACTTGGCACGGTTCTGGGGAGCCATCTTTGCAATTCATAGATGTGTACTCTGAGAAGTCCTTCTCGAAGCAGCTTGTCTGCAGTGAGAATGCTTTGGGAAGCTCCCCAGCCCATGAGGTTCCCCACACCAGTGTGTGGCTCGGACTGACCCACCACTCCACCACTTAGCAGTGGGGAGGAATTTAGGGTTTTCAGCTGCTTCCCCTCAGCCCTTCAAACACTATCAGTGCTTGGACTATAGGGCAGGGTTGGACCTATCGTTTCCACTGCCTTTACTGCTAACAAAACAGGCCCAAGTCACACATTTCTAATCCCTGCTCATGCTGTGCCCTCACACTCACTACCGGGAGCATTAATTTTGGGCACACCTTCTTCCACTGCTATTCTGACAATCTCACCTTATAGAATGTCTGTGTTTTTTCAGGTAGTTTCCTTGCATTTCTTAAAATCTTCTGTACATCTGTCTGTGATGAGCAAAAAGAGTTAACATTAGAATTCTGTGGCAAAAAGGGAAAGTACACAAGAGAATGATTCTAAATGTTTAAAGAAACAAAAATGAAGACAACCACTGTGTCAACCTGAGGATGCCTTCTGAGTTGATGTCAGCACTCTGCTCACATTAGTAAAGCCCTCCTTCAAAAGCATTCATGATAACAAAATACATCTCTTGGTGATGCAAATAAATTAACTTGTATTACAAAAAATACACACAGTAAACCTGACATCTTAGCCACTGGATTTGTTAACAGGGAGGCCAAGATCATTCAATGGTGAAGGACAGTCTCCTCAACAATTGGTGCTGGCACCAGAAGATGAGCACACGGGGTCAGCACTGTGGTGTAGAAGGTTAAACCTCTGGGGCCAGCACTCTGTGCAGTGGGATAAAGCCCCAGCCTGCAGTGCCAGCATCCCATAATGGGCACCAGTTTAGTCCTGGCTGCTCCACTTCCAATCTAGCTTTCTGCTATGGTCTGGAAAAGCAGAAGATGGCCCACATGCTTGGGCCCTTGTACCCACATGGGAGATGCAGAAGCTGCTCCTGGCTCCTGGCTTTGGATTGGCTCAGTTCCTCGTGTCCATCTGGGGAGTGAACCAGCAGATGGAAGACCTCTCTCTCTGTCTCTACCTCTCTCTCTGTCTTTCAAATAAATTAAAAGAAAAAAATCTTGAAAAAAAACAATGTTAAGTCTCCATCTGCAGCACTGCCATCCCATATGGGAGCTGGTTCGAGTCCCAGCTGCTCCACTTCCAGTCCAGCTCCCAGCTAATGCACCTGGGAAAGCAGCTGAAGATGGCCCAAGTGCCTGGACCCTTGCACCCACATTGGAAACCTGGAAGAAGCACCTGGCTCCTGGCTTCAGCCAGGCCTAGCTCCAGCCACTGGGTTCATTTGGGGGGTGAGCCAGTGATGGAAGATCTCTCTCTCTCTCCCTCTGTGTCTCTGCCTTTCAAATAAATAAATAAATCTTTAAAAAAAAAGTTAAAAAAAAAAAAGCTGAACACTTACCCACACACACACTATATATAAATGAACTTAAAGTAGGTCAGAGACCTAAATGTAAGAGCCAAAATATATGCAAACTACAAAGCTTATGTAAACTACAAAGATATACATGAGTATATCTTCATGTCCTTGGATTTGGCTATTATCTCTTAGTTATGACACCAAAAAGTACAGACATTTGAATCAAAAGTAAAATCTTTCGTGTATTGAAGGACATTATCAAGTTGTGGAAAACAGCTCCTAACATGGGAGAAAATATTTACAAACCATGTATCTGCTATGGGTCTACCAGCTAGACTATATAAATAACTCAGCAATAAAAAGACAAGCAATCCAATTTAAAAAATGAACAAAGGATTTAACTAGATACTCTGTTAAAGAAGATAAACAAATGGCCAATAAGCATATGAAAAGATGTACAACAACACTAGTCATTAGAGAAATACAAATAAGTGACTCTCCACACTCACTAGAATGGCTGAAATACTTTAGTTCTAAAAACCCAAGGGGCCTGTGCTGTGGTTTAGTGGGTAAAGCCGCAGCCTGCAGTGCGCCGGTTCAAGACCTGGCTGCTCCACTTCTGATCCAACTCTCTTACAGTCTGGAAAGAAGTGTAAGATGGCCAAGTCCTTGGGCCCCTGCACCCATGTGAGAGATCCGGAAGAAGCCCCTGGCTTCGGATGGGTGCAGCTCCAGCCACTGCAGCCATTTTGGGAGTGAGCCAACAAATGGAAGACCTCTCTCTCTCTCTCTTTGCCTCTCTGTAACTTTCAATGTGGAGTAATTTGTTTAACATTAGTTTCCTTTTGGAGTGATTAAAATATTCTGGAACTAGACGGTGCTGATGGTGGCAGAACACTGTGAAATGTATTAAATGTCACTGAATCATATACTTTAGAATGGCACATTTTATGTATGTCTTGCCACAACAGAAATGTATACCTAGGACCAAAACAAAATTTAAACAAAATGCATCTATAACTGTGGTAGAAGTGGTTTTAATTATCTTTATGCTGGAGAAGTGATGGTAGGAAAGAGAAAGGCTCTGATTTTCCTGTCCCCTGGGTGCATGGCCAGATGTGGCTCCGCCTCTGTGGAAAGGAGTCTGTCCTGTCATCAGAAGCTACTCTGGTTGTCAGGTGACCCGGCTCCTCTTCTCATTTGGCTTACATTGGACTACTGGAGGAACAAATGCAGAAAAAGGTGCTCAAAGGAGAAAACAGAGAGTCAAAAAGTGAATTTTTAAGAACAGGTGTGAGGGCCGGCGCCGCGGCTCACTAGGCTAATCCTCCGCCTAGCGGCGCTGGCACACCGGGTTCTAGTCCCGGTTGGGGCGCCGGATTCTGTCCCGGTTGCCCCTCTTCCAGGCCAGCCCTCTGCTGTGGCCAGGGAGTGCAGTGGAGGATGGCCCAGGTGCTTGGGCCCTGCACCCCATGGGAGACCAGGAAAAGCACCTGGCTCCTGGCTCCTGCCATCGGATCAGCGCGGTGCGCCGGCCGCGGCGGCCATTGGAGGGTGAACCAACGGCAAAAGGAAGACCCTTCTCTCTGTCTCTCTCTCTCACTGTCCACTCGGCCTGTCAAAAAAAAAAAAAAAAAAAAAAAGAACAGGTGTGAATGAGACTTGGTGTCCACGGAGGGGAGATGTCCCTGAGTCCTTTGCTGGAAGGCAGCACTCCTGGGGAGCAGTATTTTCCTTCCTTCCCATGAGTGTTTCTGTGGGATTCCAAAGTGGTGCTGTGGCTTGGGTTCTACTCTATGGATGGAAGGAATAGCCACCTGGAAGATTACATCATTTTACAAAACTGTTGTTAAAGATAATCCCTGCTATTCAAGGTCATCATGTGAAGAATACTACATCACGATTCAGTCCCAGGAAAACGTGCTGCTCTAGCAGAACCGACAGACTTCCTCTTGTCAGACAAGAACTGCCAATAGTTCTATGTTTCTTTTTTGACCTTGGTAGCAGGAAGGTCAGAGTCAAACTGCTCAAATACAATTATCATTTTGCCTTGGGTTCCTGGCACAACGGTCTCTTCTTTCTCCAGGTTTTTTATTGCTCTTAAGTTTGTCAACAGTGATTTGCTCTATGTGTGATTTGTTGAAGGCCATCTCAAATCCTTCTTGGAAGTAATGACAGACACTATATATAAATGAATTACTAAGTTTCAAAGGAAAGGAAAATCAGATCAGATGTCTGCCCGCCTGCTTGCCCCAGAGCCGCCTCCTGTCCCCAGTGGAAAGCATCGTATGAGTATGGTTACCTGCAGGCCGCTGGGTTTGATCCAGACAGTCACGTTCTGGGCATAGCTGCGTTTGTTTTTGGGTTGCAGAGGGAATGGGCTCTTATTGTCATCATCGCCATAAGGGTTTTCTTTAGCATCTTAAAGAAAAACGTAGGCTTTAAATGACACTTAGCAAAATATAATTACGTTTTCAGTTAGGCTGGCAGCTCTTTGAATCACTCAATCTTTTATGACTTATTTCTTCATTAATTAAGAAAACTCATTACCTTCAGTCAGGTTGGGGAACCTGTTCTCAATCTCTGAGGCCTTCCTAACTGGAAAGTATCTTAAATGTTATTAAACAAGCTTCACTTACCTACTTTATAGTCAGAGCAATATTAAAATGCATAATTAAAAAGCATGGGCTGGTGCTATAGTGTAGTACACTAAGCCTCTGCCTGTGGCGCCAGCATCCCATATGGGCACCGGTTCCTGTCCTGGCTGCCCCTCTTCCAATCCAGCTCTCTGCTATGGCCTGGGGATGCAGTGGAAGATGGCCTAAATGCTTGGGCCCCTGCACCCATGTGAGAGACCTGGAAGAAACTCCTGGCTTCTGGCCTCGGATCGGCCTAGCTCTGGCCATTATGACCATCTGGAGAGTGAACCAGTTGGTGGAAAATCTCTCTCTCTCTACTAACTCTTTCAAGTAAATAAATAAATCTTAAAAAAAAAAAAATTAAAAAATATACACAGTCTGGCCGGCGCCACGGCTCACTAGGCTAATCCTCCACCTGGCGGCGCCGGCACACCGGGTTCTACTCCCGGTCGGGGCGCCGGATTCTGTCCCTGTTGCCCCTCTTCCAGGCCAGCTCTCTGCTGTGGCCCGGGAAGGCAGTGGAGGATGGCCCAAGTGCTTGGGCCCTGCACCCCATGGGAGACCAGGAGAAGCACCTGGCTCCTGGCTTCGGATCAGCGTGGTGCGCTGGCTACAGTGCGCCAGCCGTGGCGGCCATTGGAGGGTGAACCAACGGCAAAGGAAGACTTTTCTCTCTGTCTCTCTCTCTCACTATCCACTCTGCCTGTCCAAAAAAAAAAAAAAAAAAACAAAACAAAAAAAACAAAAACAAACAAAAAAAAACACAGTCTATCCCAGGTGTGAGCCTTCTACCATGATGGAATATCCACACCTGTGCCGCCTAGTATGGCAGCCACTAGTTCCTGAGCACTTGACATGTGGCCAGTGCTAACTGAGGAACTGAATTTTAAATCTTATTTAATTTTTATTCAATTTAAATAGCCTCATGGCTAGTGGCATTAGATCAGACAGGTTAAAGCATTAAAGAAAATTAAAAGCCAGGGCTGGCATTGTGGCGCAGTGGGTTAAACCACCACTTGCAGTGCTGGCATCCCATAGTGGAATACCAGTTTGAGTCCAGGCTGCTCTGCTTCCATTCCGGTTCCCTGTTAATGTGCCTGGGAAAGCAGTAGGTGATGGTTCAAGGTCTTGGGCCCCTGCACTCATATGGGAAAACTAGATGGAATTCCCAGCTCCTGGCTTTGGCCTGCCTCAGCCCTGGGGAGTGAACTAGGAAATGCAAGATCTTTCTCTTTTCTCACTCTGCCTTTCAAACAAATAAAATCTTAAAAAAAAAAAAAAAAAAAAAGATAATTAAAAGGGAAAATTATATATATGGCCAAATTAAGGAAAAGGGCATGGGAAGAGGTACTTTTATTTGTGAAGCATACACTCCCTTATGGCTTATGAGTTCATTGGTTCCAAAGACTTAAAGCCAGTGTGGCTTTCTAGCAATATGGATGAATAGGGACTTTGCGCCTGCTTGCTGGGTCAATGAAACACTACCACTGACCTACAAAGCACACTTATATCTAATGGCTCGTCTTATCCTTCTTATTACCACCTTCTGAGGTAGACAGGAGGAATCCCTTTCCTACAGTTTCAGGGAGCCTAAGTCCCTCGCCTACGTTCATGTTAAAACTAGAATTAGGCCAGTTTTTCTGAGTTGGGTGTTCTCTACCTCTACAATGTGCCCTACCTTCCAGACTCACAAAAATACTGGCACAACTCTCCAGAAGTGCTTCCATTAACAGCTGTCTAGAGACGAACACTGAGTCGGCTGAGCTCCTCCAGTCCTCTCTCACACAGCATACTCACATTATTTCTGTTATTTTCCTGCCTGGACTGCCCTCCCTTCTTCATTCATGTGTTCACACACTCATTTATTCATTCAGTATCTATAATAAGGCTTCACCATGTAGTAAGCACTGTGCTAGGAATTGTGCTGAGATGTATTTATCTTGCCTCAAGGAACTCACTGAATAAAGAATATTTATTTAGTTCCAACTGTATGTCAGAGTCTCTATACATCCTCTTTCCTTAAAGCAACCCTATAGGGTAGATATTACGGAGAGGCTGGACTTACACAAGGTTTCACAGTGACTTAGCAGGGTCTAGTTGCAAAGCCAGAACTCTTCCCAGCGCTGAACACAGCTGTTCCTCAGCTACTCAAACTTACCTAGCTACAGTGCAAGGTCCAGATCCTAGCCTGTGTCTTCCATGAAGTTGTCCCAAGTTGTTTTAGAAAATAGTTTTCTTTAGACCCTTTCATCCTACATGATTATCAGCACCAAATATTTCAACATCCAATCGTCACCTATTTTGTACAGTTTTCAATTGTTTGGAACCTATACATTGCAACTGCCTTAGCAACAGGAAACATTGCATTTATGAAAAAAGAACAAGAAGAGGCTCTTAGAAATAGGAAATATGATAGTAGAAATAAAAATGTTGCAAGATAAAGATTCCTTGTAGAAGGAAGAAGAAAATGAAAAAAAAAAAAATGGGGAAACGGGCAGGAAAAGACAGAAAACTATACACACACACACACACACACCCCAACAACAGCAACTCAACGTTCCAGAATGGGAGAACAGAGAATATATAGAGAAGAAAATCAAATACATAGCACATATGCCCAGTACTTATGACTATGAACTGCAAATTAGAGAGGGCCCAGTGAGTGTCCAGCAAAATCAATGAGAGCAACAATTGCATCATTCTGGAAATCTGGAATATCAGAGGTCAAGGCCAATGGCCGGGAGTCTGTATGGCACCAGACCCTCAGCAGCAGCACAGGAAGCCAGAAGAGACAACAGAGCAATACTTCAAAACTCTGAGGGAAATGACTGCAGTCTAGAATTCAATATCGAACCATGCTCACCAAGCGAGTATGAAGGATGAAATGACATTCCCGAATAGGCACAATTTCTATACATTTCATTCCATGTACCCTTTTTTTGGGAGTCCTGCAACAGGAGACCCACAGAGAACTGTGAAGGACAGAAGCAGGATGACATCTCACAGCTGGCCCAGAGAACACCCGGTCCATTTATGAGACAGGAGGATGGGGATGACTAAGACAGAAACAGAAACTGCCAAATACCAAGGAATATATTTCACTTAGGGAGGGTTAAGTGACAGGTATTTAGAAAGCAAGCAAAGGAAAAAAAAACCAAAATAAAACAAAACAGTGATTAGGACTGGGCTGGGGGACAAAAAGTTGCAAATCAAAGGAAACAATTTGGTAAACCACTTGGCTCAAGTATAAATAACATTTAAATCCTCTAACAAGGATTGAATCCTGATTTAACAAAAAAGAATATTATAACCATTTTGGGATGTCAGGGGAAGGTAAAATATGCCTCCTGGGTAGGTGGTGGGAGATGGTGGTGGTAAGAGAGCTAAAGAGTTGAGTTACACTTGAAATGTCAAAAGTGACATCTGGGGCCGGCACTGTGGTGTAGCTGGTAAAGCCGCTGCCTGCAGAGCCGGTATCCCATATGGACGCCAGTCCAAGTCCCGGCTGTTCCACTTCCAATCCAGCTCTCTGCTATGGCCTGGGAAAGCAGTAGAAGATGGCCTAAGTCCTTGGGCCCCTGGACCCACTTGGGAAGACCTGGAGGAAGCTCCTGGTTCCTGGCTTCAGATTGGTGCAGCTCTACCTGTTGCGGCCATCTGGGAAGTGAACCAGTGGATGGAAGACTTCTCTCTCTCTTTCTCTTCCTGTCCTCTCTCTGTGTAACTCTGACTTTCAAATAAATAAATAAATCTTAAAAAAAATGACATCTAAATAGGAAAACTATGACCAAGAAATAGCTATACACTTACATTATTTAGAAATGTAGATAAATACCAAAAGAAACAAGTGTTAAAAGTGAGTGTCTTGGGCCGGCGCCGTGGCTCACTTGGTTAATCCTCCGCCTGCGGTGCCGGCATCCCATATGGGCGCTGGGTTCTGGTTCTAGTTGCTCCTCTTCCAGTCCAGGTCTCTGCTGTGGCCCAGGAAGGCAGTGGAGGATGGCCAAGTGCTTGGGCCCCTGTACCCACATGGGAAACCAGAAAGAAGCACCTGGTTCCTGGCTTACATTGGATTTAAGCGGCCATTTGGGGAGTGAACCAACGGAAGGAAGATCTTTCTCTCTGTCTCTCTCACTGTCTATAAATCTACCTGTCAAGTAAATAAATAAATAAATAAAAGACAGGGCAGGCTGACTTGTTAAAAAAAAAAAGTGAGTGTCTCTAGGAACAAAATTTGGCACAGGAGGGACTGGTATAAATAGTACTATTTTCATGTCTGCTTTGAAAAGCCTAACAAAACCAGCAGTATCTACTGCCACGTGTCTACTGTGCGTCAGTGCTTTCACACTCCCTCAGGAGGGCTGGTGGACAGGAGCTCTGTCTGTCAAACAAATTAATTAATTAAGTAATTACAAAAAAAAGTCTTGGGTCGCCCTATTTCAACATGGCCTGCCCACCTCCACTTCACTGCCGCCCCTCCCACGAGCACTCTCGTTTGCGCACCACTCCTTTCCTTTCTAAAGGCGTCCCGTTTGCCCGGGGTGCCCTTGCTTCCCCCTCTCGCTCAGCAAATGCCTCAGCCCTTCACAAGCTGGCTAGCGCCTTTCCGCCGTGAGGATCTTACTGAGGCCTCCGGACAGAGCAATCACTACCTCCGCCAGGCCGACCTCGCCTGCGTGCCAGGCCGTGTTTATTATTCCACTTCCCACTATACTTTGAGTAACTCCTGCTAACTTTTTATCCATGAGGCCTGCCATGGAATAGGTTGTTTGGTAGATGTCCCTGAAATTGAAATGAGCTCCAAGGAGTCAAGGATGACTCTACAGTTGGAGCCTGAGGAGTTAAGAGGTACAAGGGACCCTCAATCAGAGGAGGAGGAAAATCAGAAGCAGCTTAAGGAGAAAATGGTGAGAGACAATGGTGTCTGTTAAAACCATGCTGAACCTGAGACTAGCGCAACATGCAGGTGGGAAGAGGCCCAATGGGAGCTGGAAATATGATATGCAAATTCCAGGGAGAGCTCAGGTGGGATGCACAGATTTGGGGAGTCTCAAAGCATTACAGCTGAGAAATAACCGAGAGAGTGAGAACCCAAGAGGAGAAAGCAAAGAACAGTGTCTTAGAAACTGAGGCAAGAGGGAAAAACACAAGAAGGTAAGACAAAGAAGCTGCCAAAGAAAAAGTCAAGTATAGGAGCAAGGGAAAGCTAAAGGAAAACAGCTTCAAGAAGCAGTGGAGATTAAATAATCTAGGAGTGACTGGCGGTTACTTGGATTGAAACTAGTACACTAAGAAAAATGTTCAAGGAGAGTAGATTCTTACTTTAAGCACTTAGAGAGTTTATATTTACTCAGAGCAACCTAAATGTTGGCTTCCCAGGAGCAGTCAATGTGGATCAGACATCACACTCTCTCAGAGTTCTCCATGCATCAAAACCCACAGCATACCAATGAAGGAGCGCATGCTCCCTGCCAACTGCCAGGCACACTCAGAACAGCAGAGAGAAGACAGAGTTAAGATAAGCAAAATCTGATCTTGGTTGTACCTGAAATAGGACCCAACTGTGCCATTTTCCCTAGCCATGGGAGAGGCTCTGGGCCAGGCTCAAAAAGAGACATCATGAGGTTTGATTTCTTCTTGCTGTCAGCTTGGGAGTAGAGCATTCCATGCCATTCAGGACTAGATGGAGAGAAGATGGAAGATCAGAAGAATATCAAGCCTGGGACTGTCAGGTTAAGTAAGTCTAACCCGTGTTCTTTCGAGCTTCAACTCTGTAATCAGGCACATTACATTGACCAAGGCCAAACATTCAATCTCAAAACACATACTGTTGTCCCCGACCATTTCCATCCCTCTTGGATATTTATTATTATTCAGGCAAAATTATGTATATAAAGATGTCAAAGGGAAACCAAGCACAAAGGACAGCAAGTAGCCGCAGGGTGGTGAGAAGGAAAGGCTGTGGTCTACAGGTCCTTTTAGCTGCCTCACGCCATCACGCACAGGGAGCTCTTCTCACACAGGGCACACGGCCACCACCTTGTTATGTAACAGACACGCTGTTCCAGCTTCTCAAAGGCCCCAGGTGGTTCCCATAATCAGAGCCAGTGACAGTACTTTGAGTGCCAAGAAATGCAGGAGACTAGTAAGAAGTGCAGTCTTCCTTTTGGACTAGGTAATTCTAACTCAAGTAGAAATGGAGCCATGTTTCCTCTGATTAACCTCTTGATTTCCTACACCAATCCTAGGTGATAGGCAGAGGTGCACAGTCATCTCGTCTTTTCTAACAACAAGCATCATAGAAAGGGAAGCAGATATTTTGCAGATTTCAAGATGTCAGAGGATGGAAAAGTTAGAAGGACGTTCCTCACAGGGAAAGCATACAGCACAGCAGTTAGGAGTACAGGCTCTGGAGTCAGAACATGTGGGCAAGAATCCTGGCTCTTTCGTTGACTCCCTGTGTGAACTTGGGGAAGTTCCTTGGCCTCTTCAAATGTCAGTCTCCTCATCTATAAAATGGGGTTAATGTTGATACTTCTGCACAGAGGAAGGGATAAACGTGTGAACAAGTGCAAAGTGCCTGGGAGTAGCTGGCACATGGTAAAAAGCTCAAAGTGATCCCATCTATTTTCATTTGGCACTACCTGCTCATTTTATAAATGAAGAGTCTGTGAATCTGCCTATGCTCCTATTGCAAGTTAGTAACATGGCTCTACCTGGAGCCCAGATACTGCAGACAGGATAAAAAAGAAGAAAGTTGAGAAAGGAGATACTATAAAAAATAATATAATTAAGATCATTCCTTATTTATTCTAGGGGATTCAAAGAGTAGTTTAGAAGGTAATGTCAGGTGGAAATGGTGTGGTTGTGAAAGGAAAAAAGTGACACGGACTTTTCTCTCTCTTCAGAAATGTTTGTGCAATACTTCACTAATGAACTGATTTTCCCTTCCAGTCAACCAAATGTAAACAATCTTTCCTACCCTAATTGAACAATCGCCACCATTCCTTCTACTTTTAGGCTGCCATGGAGCAGGACACAGAAGTTGGGTATTTTGCCTGCAATCTGGTTGGCTGAATTTTCATCTTCAGTGTCATCAGTGATGCCAGGACCCACCTCATCACCTTCTGTAAAAAGAAGAGGAAACAGGCTAGGCTGATATTAGCCACAGAAACCCCAGGCCAATTATATTCTTGCTGCTTTCAGTCTTGAAATGAAGGTGTACAGAGTTGTAAAGGAATATTGTAACAAATGGAAAAAACTCATCCCAGTTCTCCAAATCCATATAAAGCAGTTTTCAGGTACTGTATGGATTCTATTTACACAAAACATCCAGAATAGGCAAATCTATATAGAAACAGAAAGGATTTTAGTGGTTATCTGGGACTGGGGAAATGGAGGGCTGGGGGTTAACAGTTAGCACTGGGCTTGTTGTTGGGGTGATGAAAAAATTCTAGACTTGATTGTAGTGATGGGAACACAACTAAAATATACTGAAAACCACTTAATTATCCATTAGAAAAACAAAACTTTTTTTTTTCAAAAACTTTTAAATTTGAGAGCCAGAGACAATGATTTTCTTTTTCAACAGGAATAATTTGCTCACTTTAGAGTGGCATTCAACAGCCCTTTTAACATGGCCCTATTTTGCCTTCCAATAATTTCTCCCTATATAAACTCTTTGTTTTGCTCAATTTCTTTTTCAACAATTATATAGACACACAGATTTCCCCCAGGACCTGAGAAATAAGGGGAAGCTGGTTGTTCTCTGAGAACAGTAAGGTAAATTACAGACATGCCATCTGCGGGAATGTATCAAGTTCTATGGATATATGATTGAGTGGTTATTGGATAGCCAACACTCCAACCAAGATAACCTTGGAGTAAACAGAAATGATAACTCATTAAGTGGAAAACTGATTGACTGGATAAACTTCTTGGAGAGAGTGGATAAAAATAAAGTGGATAGTCAGCCTAGAACAGAAGAGAGAGAATTTCAAAGAGCTAGAGGCTCACATTCTCTAGAGATGCTGAATTTGGGGATGTGACTTTATAGTTCCCGGAGAGGTATATTCTAAAGTAACAAGGACTTGGCCAGCGCCACCAGCATCCCGGGTTCTAGTGCCAGTCAGGGAGCCGGATCCTGTCCCGGTTGCTCCTCTTCCAGTCCAGCTCTCTGCTGTGGCCTGGGAGTGCAGTGGAGGATGGCCCAAGTCCTTGGGCCCTGCACCTACATGGGTGACCAGGAGGAAGCATCTGGCTCCTGGCTTTGGATCGGTGCAGCACGCCGACCGCAACGCACTGGCCGTAGCAGCCACTTGGTGGTGGTGGTGGGGGGTGAACCAATAGCAAAAGGAAGACCTTTCTCTCTATCTCTCTCTCTCACTGTCTAACTCTGCCTGTCAAAAATCAATCAATCAATCAATCAATCAAGTAATGAGGACTTGCAAGGATCTAGATTTATCCATTCTTTCAAACATTTTTAATGTGTATCTACTATGTGCTTGACACTAAAAGAACAAAGAACAAACATGCTTCTTCCCCTTGTTCAGCTATGCTTGACTTCCACATTATCTGTAACCATACTTTGTCTTTCTCAGGGCATTCCTAATAGGAAAGGCAGAGCCCTGGATGAGCAACTAAGCACTCACATCTCTAAAGGATTTCCACTGCAACTGTACAAGCCAATGTGTGGTAAATATGTGCCAACATGTTTTCCACAGTGTAAAGCAGCAGAATTTATTTTCTGATAGATTCAGTAACATTTTCTAAAATCTAGTTCAATAGCTATTCCTTTCATCTAATTCTGCAAAATAAGTTTTCCTGCTATTTAACATTTAAGAATAACTTTAGACAATAAGATACTTCACATTTGTCCATGGAATAGGAAGAGAACTCACCTTTGTTAAGTGCTATAGGTAACACTAAATGTCTGGACAAAACAGGGGGACTTGAAATATCAGCTATATCAATAAATCCCACTATTTCCAAATCTGAAAGGAAAAAAATCAACATAGCATTAATTTATACAATGGGAAAGTACAATATATTCTATGTTAGATTTCATAAACACACTATATAGGTGGGGATTTCAAATATGAGGACTGGTAAATTTATTAAGCTTCTCTGTGAGTAACTCTAAGAATTCTCATTTCAGGTAGATCAGGAAGTAATCATTATCTTTCACTTAAAAAAAGTCAGTGATATGATAAATCAGGTAAACTTCAGTTTTATGAGACTAGTTCCCAGTTAAGGCAAGCATCTTAAAAGGTCAAATTCCTCTACATAGTCAGAGATGTTCATGTCACCAGGGGGCGTCAGAGTCACACACGTCCACAACAACTTACTTCAACCTTCCTTGGAAGGTAAGCTCCACATTAAAAACATTTCCCTGAGAAAAACAAGTCCTTTACAAAACCAAGATAAGCAGTCTAATGACAATAATTTCTTTGCTTTATATAAGCTGTACTAAAGACCAAAATTATTTTTTTAAAAGCTAAAATAAAGACAACATGAAAGTTGAAGTCAAAAGAATTTTAAAACATTTTTCCTGATTACATAAATATATAAGTACAAAAACCTGGAAAACACTAGAAGTTGTAAATAAGAAAAATAAAATCATATTCATCATAAAAGGAAATCTATTTTATTGAACTGCTTTTCAGTCTTTTTTCTAAGCAAATTAAGACCTATATTCTCAAAACAATGAAAATATCAGAATCATAATGAATACATTGTAATTCTAACAAATTAGGAAGTGTGTTTCTTTTGAGACTTGCTGTCATCACCTCTCCTAGCTGACTAACAAATGAATCAGTATAAGCACCTAGGTACTCAAAAAGTTAATGGAAAATGGAACTAAAAGATAGGGCGGGACAAGTACAGGAAGAGCTGACAGCTTAGTGATCATCAGGTTGATTCAACTCATCTAGCCAATAAGAACTAGAGGAGGTGACTTTCCAGGGTCACATAGCAAGAGTCATACAGACGAGTCCAGAAGCTAGTCCTTTATACATGAATTTAATATCTCTTTTAAGAATCATCTCAAGGATTTCAATGCTAGTGAATATAGCCATGATTTCCAGCTCTAGTGATTCAAAGTTACAATTATCTACAATTGGAGATTAACCTCAACAGAAAAGATCAATAATCCGCCACCTTTTAGGTAATGTATCCACCAATGCAAAGTGCTGATGACAACAGCACCCTAGATCATAGTATATATTCATTTCAACTCACCTAGATGGAGAAGAAGGTAAAAGTCTCAAGTTAGAAGAAAGTAAGGATAACAGAGAAACTAAGTAAATTAAAAAAAAAAAAAACAGTTACCTGTATTAATAACTTTAGGTATAGGATCAATTTCTTCATCTACGACAAAAGGTTCTGGCCTTGGGAAGACCTGCACATCAGCTGTTAGGTGGCCACACTTGAGAATAGCATGGAAAGGTGTATATGCCAGATCTATCAATTTTCTAGAATATGATGATTAATATTAATATGATACACAGTAATTTTTCAAGATGCAAAGTTTGTTTTCCCTTCAAGTTGACTCTAAACCCAAGATCTGACCATTTGTGAAACAGAACAAAATCTGATATTTACAAATAAATGGCCTTGATTCTTTCTAAAAATTCATTTATTTGTGAAACTGACAGAGACAGAGAGAGCTCCCATCTGCTGGTTCACTTTCCAAATGCCTGCTATGGCTGGGACTGGGCCAGGCTGAGCTGAGAGCTAGGATGTCAATCCAGGCCTCCCATATAGGTGGCGGGAGTCAGATGGCTGTCTCCGGGATCTGTATTGGTAGGATGCTGGAGTCAGGAGCAGAGCCAGGTGTGGAACCCAGGCACTCCGATATGGGATGCAGGTGTCTTAACTGCTACACCAAACATTTGCCTCAAATCTGACATTTTTGGTGAAATTTCAATTATGAAAAGCCCACAAAGCAAGGCAATCTTTGAAACTGTAAGGAAGTCAGCCATTAGAGGTTTAGTCATGTTCAATTTACAAAATCAATACTATCATTTTATCTGAGAAAAGTACAATGGGCAAAATAAAAGGACAATTAGAAATAGTAAAACCAAAATTCCTGCTGGATCCCAAATTATAGTATTGGATTGTAAAAAGGCAAAAAAGCTCAGTGCATATACTCACCCAAACATAGACTGTACATTTTTCAAGCACAGGGGGCCATCAATAGTAAAAATCTGCCCTTCACCATTGTTTAAGTCTATGAGACGTTCAAGGCACTCCAAGGAATCCGTGCTCTGAAGCTACAAAGCAAAAAGGATGACCCTTTCAAAATGGCACAAAATGCCAGGTCACTCTCGGTACACCAAAGTCACAGCCATCATAATAACACAGGCAATAAATGACTGAGATGATTTTTTAAACAGCCAATATGAGAAGGAAATGACTATCACAATTTGACTCAAGGATACAAGGGAGGGATGTCATATAAATGACATGCGTGCAGTTATTTCATTCAGAAGTAGCTTTGTAAGGATTCTCAAAGGTGACCAATTAGTATTACACAGCATCTTCCCTCCAAAGTGTTTATAACACCTTTTGGTAAGAACAATCATTATTTACATCTTACAGAGAGAAAAATTAAGGGTAGAAAGGTTAAATAACTTTCCCAAATAAATGGTAAAACCAGGAAGTAATGTGTCTAGTAAACATACAGTAGAGTCATGTTACTTTACCTAAAAAATCAAAGTACACCTGTGTCAACATTTCCACCGAAATGGACAGAATTTCTAAATAAGGTAAATAACTAACTCCAAAAAGAACGTCTCACACCTTCAGCACTCATCATGAAGATGGAGAGCAACTTTAACTATGTTCCCAAAATAGGGCAACACTAAAATTTCAGTCTTTTCAAATATAGGCAGTGACAGCCTCTGCTGAAAACAACGGAGTATAATGTTACAGAATATATAGAATAAAAGTAACTAATAATAAACTAAATAAACTAAAAAATAAACTAAGCCCTAAAATCTATATAATCAAACTGAAAGAACTTAGTAAAAAGCATTACCTCCTCCAAGTTTGCCATGCACATGATATACAACTTAGATGGGAAAGGAAAGGGCAGTGGGAACCTGTTGCTCTCACTTCTTTGATTGTGAGTAGCCAGGGAATGCCGCAGTGACCCTCTACCAATGCCAAGACAGCCATCCGTCACCAGAACAACCTGTTTGCAAACAGAGAGGTTTGTACATTACAGTACCATTTAGCAATGTTTTCACTACTAAAAAGGGGCATGAGGAAGCTTTGTGTGGTGACAGAAAAGTTCAGTACCTTTATTATAGTAGTGGTTACACAGGTGCATGCATTTGTCAAAACTCATTGAGAGGCCGGCACTGTGGCACAATGGGTTAAAGCCCCAGTCTACAGTGCCAACATCCTATATGGGCACCAGTTTGAGTCCCAGCTGCTCCACTTCTGATCCAGTACCCTGCTAATGCACCTAGGAAAGCAGCGGAGGATGGCCCAAGTCCTTGGACCCCAGCACCCATATGCGAGACCTGGAAGAAGCTCCTGGCTCCCGGCTTTGGATCAGCCACTGTGGCCGCTTAGAGAATGAACCAGTGGATGGAAGACCTCTCTCTCTTTTTGTCTCTACCGCTCTCTGTAATTCTTTCAAATAAATAAAATAAATCTTAAAAAAAAAAAAAAAGTCAATGAACCAGGTACTTAAAATCTATGCACTTTTACTCTATTCATCTAATTAAGCCTTTAAAAAAAGATTGTCTTGGGACACTTTAAAAAAGAACAAAATATTTTTAACTAATTCTTACTTAATTGTATTAAAAATAGAACCCATCTCTTCCATAAGAGATGTCCCTAAATAGTACCACCAGAGGTTGGAGTTGTGGTACAGTGGGTTACACCTCCATCTGGCATGTCCACATTCCACATGGAAAGGCTGGTTCGGGTCTCATATGCTCTGTTGAAGCAGATGATGGCCCAAGTACTTGGGCCCCTGGCACCCATGTGGGAGATGTAGATGGAGTTTCAGGCTCCTGGCTTTGGCTTAACCCAGCCCGGGCTGTCGTGGCCATTTGAGGAGTGAGCCAGCAGACAGAAGATCTCTATCTGCCTCTCCCTCTTTCTCTGTCACTCTGCCTTCCATATATAAAAAAAAAAAAAAAAAAAAAAAAAAAAAAGATTTATTTGAAAGTCAGAGAGAGAGAAAGAGAGAGAGAGGAGAGACCGAGAGATAAATCTTCCCTCTACTGGTTCACTCCCCAAACGGCCACTGTGGCTGGGGATGGTCCAGGCCAGGAGCTTCTTCTGGGTCTCCTGCACGGGCACATGGACCCAAGGATTTGGGCCATCTTCTACTGCTTTCTCAGGCCATAGCAGAAAGCTGGATCAAAATTGGAGCACCTGGGACTTGAACCAGAACCCATATGGGATGCCAGCACTACAGATGGCGGCTTAACCCGCTGCACCACAGCACTGGTCCCCCAAAATAAATAAATCTTTAAAAAAAAAAAAGTACCACCACAGAAGTCAGAACTTTGCGACTTGATTTTCAAAGACAACAAATTCTATTACTGGTCAACTAAAATGGCATCTGCTTTAAAAATATTTTTTATAGGGGTGAGCATTATGGCACAGCAGATGAAATTGCTGCTTGGGATGCCTGAATCAGAGTGTTGGTTCAAGTCCTGGCTCCTCTGTTTCCGAATCCTGTTCCTGCTAATTCATCCTGGGAGGAAGCAGATGACTCAAGTACTTGGACCCCTGCCATTCATGCAGGGGATAGGATGGAGTTCCAGGCTCCTAGTTTCAGCTTGGCCCAGCTCTGGCTGTTGCAGGCATTTGGGGAGTGAACCAGTGGGTAGAAAAGATCTCTCTGTTACTCAGCCTTTTAAATAAATAAATAGATAGATAAATAGATAGATAGATAAATACCAATAACAGATGGTAGTTGCAAAGTCATTTTCTGCTTCCTCATTGCTTTCAGAGACATCCAACAGTAGAGGGTAGACTTTCTAACTACGCCAACATAGGATTATTTTTGCTCTCCCTAGCCTAGTCAGTAACTTGATAATAATAGGCCACAACACTGGCATTTATTACAAAAGTTCAAGAATGCTCCATAGGGGCTGGTGTTGTAGCATAGTGGGTAAAGCTACCACCTGCAACTCTGACATCCTATATGGGCTCCAGTTTGAGTCTTGGCTGCTCCATTTCCAATCCAGCTTCCTGCTAATGCGCCTGGGAAAAGTAGTAGAAGATGGCCCAAGTGCCTGTGACCCTGCCACCTACATGGGAGACCTGGAGCTCCTGATTCCTGGCTTTGGCCTGGTCAGCCCCAGCCATTGTGGCCATCTGGGGAGTGAACCAGTGGATGGAAGGTCTCTTTTTTTTTTTTTTTTAATATTTTATTATTTATATGAAAGAATTACACAGAGAAAGGAGAGGCAGAGAGAGAGAGGTCTTCCATCTGATGGTTCACTCCCCAGTTGGCAGCAATGGCTGGAGTTGCACCAATCCAAAGCCAGGAGCTTCCTCCGGGTCTCCTACATGGGTGCAGGGGCCCAAGGACTTGGGTCTCCTCCATTGCTTTCCCAGGCCACAGCAGAGAGCTGGATCGGAAGTGGACAACCGGTGCCCACATGGGATGCTGGTACTGCAGGCAGCAGCATTACCTGCTATGCCACAGTGCCAGCCCCACCCCCCCCTTTGTAACTCTGACATTCAAATAAATAAATAAATATTAAAAAAAAAAAACTTCATTGATCCCTTAAGGGATCTTATTGTTTGGGAAGATATTTGATTAACCATAAGGAATTGATTTCCTTTTCCAAGTACCAGCAACTGCTATATAATGACTTATATCTGCCATTAGGTTTCCCAGATGCTCTGTGATAATGAAATATTTTATGAAATGTCAGAATATGACAAATTTTACTCCGATAATGAAGGCAAAGTCCAGCTGTCTAAAATCCCCATTTTTAAAAATTCAACATTTAAATAAATTTCATAGTAACTAATTATAAAAACAATCATTAATAACTACTACCTTTAATACAGTCCCTTAGATTTGATTTAATCAAAATATATCAGGCAAGTCTACATGGATTCAGTCTCAGGCCCCTGTACTCAGAGTATGGTACATCTCAAATTCAGATTCTTCCTTTACTAAAGGAAGGAAAATATTAAAGGGCAAAAGTCTGCATGTACACAGGTCTGGTTCTTAAAAATTTTGAGTTTCTCCTCTAAACCACAGAAGAAATAATAAATGAAACAGTGTTGAGCTGCTAGCTTCCAATTTAGAAGCTATTAATAAAAAAATTCAGTATTATTAGGAAATTAGATATTGTGAGCTTACCAAAATAAATAATGCTTAAAAAGTAAGGCATCAAGCTTTTTTTTATTTCTGAAAGTAAATTGATCAAAAGGATTTCCTAGGGCTGGTGGTGTGGTGCACCAGTTAAGCCACTGTCTATGATGCCAGCATCCCATATGGGTGCCAGTTTGAGTTCAGGCTGCTCCACCTCCGATCCAGCATCGCTGCCAATGGACTGGGAAAGCAGCAGATGGCCCAAGTGCTTGGGCCCCTATACCCATGTGGGAGACCTGGAAGAAGCTCTTGGCTCCTGGCTTCAGACAGGCCCATCTCTGGCCATTGTGGACATTTGGGGGAGTAAACCAGTAGATGGAAGACCTCTCTGTCTCTTTCTCTCTCTGTCGGCACTTCTGCCTCTCAACTAAGTAAATAAATCTTAAAAAAAAAAAAAATGGTGATCAGAGCCAGCAAACTACAGCCCACAGGCCAAATCTAGCCACTGCCTACTTTTGTAAACAAAGTTTTATTTGAAAACAGCCATGCCTTTTCATTTACTTGTTATCAATGGTTGCTTTCATGCTACTGCAGCAGAGTTGAGTGGTTGCCACAGATACCTACAAAGCCTAAAATACAGAAAAACACTGCTGCTAACTTCTGTTGTAGACCACTGTGATTCTCTTTTAGCAACAATTTTGTTTTCCTTCTTCAAAATATGCTGCTACTTCTCAAGGTATCTGCTTACTGCAAATTTCTAGCTCTCTTTGTTACTATCCTGCTCTGACTTGATGCTGACTGTGGATCCGCTATGGACTCTAAGAGCCACAGATTTTATGACATTCACACTCCTCATTTTTTAGACAACTCAGGTAGTTGAGACTGTGAAAAGTCTGCTGAACAAAAGCTGCACTGAGATAATGAAGACGAACTACAGTGTACTGAGGTTTAAATTCTGCTACTCAAAATCGTAACAACCCCTTCCAGGGAGCATAGTTCCAAAAAACTATTGTGAGCCCTTTGTGTTTTATACAAACAGCACTGGTTTGCAGTAAGCCAATTTACCAGGCAGATGCTTTCCGTAAGGCATCACTTTGTTGCTTTCTGAGCACATCAGAGTGATATAGATTAGATCAGTGTGATGTGATTAGAATGATTTAGTGCTGTCTTTTAAAAAAGATACCAAAAGTATAAAATGTGGTTTGTGGAACTTACAATGCATGCTGTGTCAGAGCCTGAAGAAGCTCAAAGCACCTCAGTGGTTAATGTGTTTAACTTAGGGCAACCAAAAGAATTGATCACTCATTACCTGGCAAGGAACTGCACCACCCCACTCCTGCTGAACGATATTGCACACACCAGCTAATGCGGACTCCAGGCAGGTCTTGTCATAATCATCCATATTACTTAGTGCCTCCTTATTGAATAAAAGAAAACATTGCTCATTATCCTTCACTATTTTAATCTGTTATCAGAAAACAACATGAACTGTCCCAGGTATGAATGTTACACAGGGGACATGGTGTCTCTGAGAGCTTCAGAGCACAGGTTATGACTAGAAGTGGCAGATCTGAGATCTGAAACCAAGCAGTCTGACTCCTGGTCATAAGCATTACACCTCACTCCTTATATAGCAGTTCTGTACATTTCAGAAGTGCTAACATGAAAAAAATCCCCTTATTAAGAAAGCCAGTACAATTATGAAAAAGTTTTTGAGTTGCTTAAAATATGTTAAATGTTCTAACAAAAATTATATTACTTATATTTAAAAAACAATTCAAACCTCCTTGATTTTGGATTTCTAAACTGCCCAACCATCATTAAACTATTCAATTTAATTCCACAGACACTTAGCAAGTACTCACTGTGGTCAAGACACTGTTTTAGGCAATGGTGGAAATTTTAATGATGTAGAGATGTTGTCAGAAAGTAAACTCTTGGGCATATCACAGAAAACACCTTTGGAAGATAGCACTTATCAACTGGGGTTTAAAAATTACAATTTCTAAGGCCAGCGCTGTGGTGCAGTGGGTTAAAGCCCTGGCCTGAAGCGCCGGCATCCCATATGGGTGCCGATTCTAGTCCCGGCTGCTCCTCTTCTGATCCAGCTCTCTGCTATGGCCTGGGAAAGCAGTGGAGGATGGCCCAAGTCCTTGGGCCCCTGCACCCATGTAGGAGACCCAGAGGAAGCTCCTGGCTCCTGGCTTCGGATCAGTGCAGCTCCAGCCGTTGCGGCCATCTGGGGAATGAACCAGTGGATGGAAGACCTCTCTCTCTCTCTCTCTCTACCTCTCCTCTCTCTGTAACTGTGACTTTCAAGTAAAATAAATAATCTTTAAAAAAATTATAATTTCTTGGGATCTATAACTCAAGCTATTTGTTGGTGAGAAAATAACAATTTGAATTGCTCTACAATAAATGTTTTCATAAAGAAGGGCTGTTTTTCATTTCTTCAAGTTCTACAGCAAAGTAGAGAACAGGAAAATGTTGAACATAAAGACCCTAAACTTGAGGGAATGGAGCACTGACTGCTTGCCTTTCCTCAAGGAATCTCATAAAACCAAGAGAAGAAAACTAACAACACACAGCTCTAACTCATAGCTCATCCACAGAAAGGCCTAAGACCTAGTAGTTGTGAACCCTTGTTCTATAGCTACACATAAAAAGTACTCACTGGCTTTTTATTAAATATTTCCAAGTTCTAGAACTTTGGTGTGATATTAAGCACTGTTTTCCTTCTAATACTTTTGGGCCCTGTACAAGCAATAACAATTCCTTTTGTTACCTGTAGGGTGTTATAATCTCGTGTGAAAGGGACCATCAGCTCCCAGAGTGATGAAAAAACCACCAAGGCTGTAAATTCGAGCTTGTAATTTGTGGCCATGTGCTCAAACAGCATCGTCAAACCATGGGCTGCCAGGTGCTTCCGCTGGTACTCCTCGGAGCCCTCGACAGACACAGGGCGGGTCATGGAGAGGGACACGTCCATTACCACCACCGTCGGCATGATGAAAATGATCCCAGTGTTTCCAATGAGAATGTGAACAGCGTACTACCAACAGAGAAATGCTGTTGGAAATAAATAAGGTTTTTTTCACCATTATTTTAACCAGTTTCTCAGAAATGCATGGAGGCAAATCCCATCTGAGTGGAAGTGAAGGCAATCTGCAGAGACTTCAGCAAGAGGGAAGTAAGCAGCTTAGCGCACTGTGAGGGCTTCACCCTGTGTCCCATGTGACAGCCATTAAAGCAGAGACCACCTGAAGTGTATCCATTGGGAAAATTCAGGTAGCTCTTCAGCTTCCTACTTTCAACTTTTACACAATTTAATATAATAAACACTCCTACATCACCTCTCCAACACTTAACTTATTGAAGAATATTTCTCTTTGTCATATGTTGGTGTATTGACAATCAACCATTCTTTTTTGGCACTTTCAGTATCTTAATACAATAATATTAGCACAACTGTTTATTTTGTTGTGTGGTGTCCTTTTTTAAATTAAAATGGATGTAAAATATAAAAGTAAAAAAACAAGTAAAATCATAATGCAAGTTAGACAAAGCTGGAAGTCATTAAGCACCACAAAGCAACAAACTGTTAGCCTCAGTAGCACTTATTTTACACAAACTGGCCAATGGTGCTTTATTTATTTATTTATTTATTTTAATTTTTGACAGGCAGAGTGGACAGTGAGAGAGCGAGACAGAGAGAAAGGTCTTCCTTTACCGTTGGTTCACCCTCCAATGGCCACCACGGCTGGCGCGCTGCGGCCGGTCCACCGCGCTGATCCCGAGCCGGAAGCCAGGTGCCTCTCCTGGTCTCCCATATGGGTGCAGGGCCCAAGCACTTGGGCCATCCTCCACTGCACTCCCAGGCCACAGCAGAGAGCTGGACTGGAAGAGGGGCAACCGGGACAGAATCCGGCGCCCCGACTGGGACTAGAACCTGGTGTGCCGGCGCCGCAGGTGGGGGATTAGCCTAGTGAGCCGCGGTGCCCGCCTCAATGGTGCTTTAATTGTGAAGAAAAAGAAAATTAAAGAATATGTATAAAAGCTAGAATTAGCTCAAGAAAGAGAGAAGAGACAGCAGAGGGAGCTCTCATCTGCTGGTTAATTCCCCGAATTCCTGCAACAGTTAGGACTGGGCTGGCCTGAAGCTGGGAGCCAGGAACTCAATCCAGGTCTCCCACATGGGTGACAGGAACCCAACTACTTTGAGTTATCATCTGCTGCTGCTCACGGTCCACACTGGTGGGAAGCTAGAGCCAGGAATCAAACCCAGGCACTCTGATATGGGATATAGATGTCTTAACCACTAAGCCAAATTCGTGCCCCACATGAGAAATATTTATATAAAGAATGGAGGGAGGCCAGCACTGTGGCACAGTAGGTTAGGCCTCTGCCTAAGGTGCCAGCATCCCAGATAGGCACCAATTCATGTCTCGGCTGTTCCTCTTCTGATCCAGTGGAGGATGGCCTGGGTGCTTGAACCCCTGCACCCACATTGGAGACCTGGAGGGAGCTCCTGTCTCCTGGATTCAGTTTGGCCCAGCTCTGTCCATTGCAGCCAACTGGGGAGTGATCCAGAGGATGGAAGACCTCTTTGTCTCTCCCTCTCTCTGTCTGTAACTCTGCCTCTCAAATAAATAAATCTTAAAAAAAAAATGGAGAAAAATAAGTCACAAGATTATATGTATACATTGCTAATAAATTCATAAAACCATATTGCATGTATTATTTACAATTAGGAGGACTCCAGGTGGATATAAATAGGTTAGAAATTTAATATCCATGAGGCCGGTGCTGTGGTGCAGCAGGTTAAAGCCCTGGCCTGAAGCACCGGCATCCCATATGGGTGCCAGTTCTAGTCCCGGCTGCTCCTCTTCCGATCCAGCTCTCTGCTATGGCCTGGGAAAGCAGTAGAAGGTGGCCCAAGTGCTTGGGCCCCTGCACCCATGTAGGAGACCTTGAAGATGTTCCTGGCTCCTGGCTTTGGATCGGTGCAGCTCCGGCCATTGCAGCCACCTGAAGAGTGAACCAGCGGGTGGAAGGCACTCTCTCTGTCTCTACCTCTCTCTGTAACTCTGCCTTTCAAATAAATAAAATCAATCTTAAAAAAAAAAAAAGAAAGAAATTTAATATCCAGTATTTTCTTTTTTGGGGACTCATTTCAAAAAAATTTAACAGTGGCCAGACTACTTGTTTTGGTACAGTACCCAACTGCAAACATGTGATATTCTAAAATTCTATGGGTAAGTAGGCTGTTGGAAACTCAACATACTGTCATTGAAACAATGTTATCCATGTGGGGAAGGGACTCAGGTCAAGTAGGAAAAGCCTTTCACTACATAATGGCTTGAGACACATTTGAAATATATTGTTATATTTCGTGTATCCAACATCAATAAAGTTAAACTGGGGGATGGGGGGTGGGGAGTGAAGCAGGATTACTTTCCCAGACTCCTTTGAATTGTAAAACATTTCACCATTGTGGTGGGAAAAAATTAAAATATGTACCCCTTTTCTCTGCCTCACTGAACAGTGTGTGCTAAACCTAAGTCATCCTAAGAGGATGACTTAGGAACATCACTCTAAACACCAACACTACCCAGCAAACTGATGCCCTGATGTTGCACTTCATACCAGCAATTCCTCAACTGGGGGGCAGATCACTCCTCCCACACTCGAAGGATCCAGAGGCTGTCGTGCTGCTTTGGTGCTGTCTCTATAGAATTTTTAGAGGTTAGTCTGCACTCCATTTTTATCTGTGATCATTCTTATTTGCAGCATTTTGACTGTTGTGGGCTTTCAGAAAACCAGGTGACAAGCTGTCCAAAGTAAGTTTGGAAGTTCTGAGGGCTTGTGGGTTTCCCGGAGTTTAGGTGTATCAACTTGGTACTATTTTGTTCACTTCTGTTACTCAAGAAGTGAGGTCCTGGACAACACTGGTTCTACTACACTACAATGGACCACAAGCTCACCTAGGGCAGGGACTAGGTCAGATTTTGCCGACTGGACTTACTATAGTAACCAGCACACGTTGGTTCTCAACAAATATTTGATAATGACTACTGCACTACTATCAATACATGGAACAATTCTTCAGCAAATCACACTACACATCTTAACTCTGAACACCCGCTACACATATCCTGCTGATTCAAGCTGAGATCCCAGGGACTCCTACACCCATGCCCAGATCAAGTCACCCAGTTCCTATGGCAGTGCCATTCAAGCACGAAGGACTTGTGTCTTCAGGGTTGGGGATCATGGGATGTACAGCCATCACCTCTTTGGAGAATGGGAAATAGCGGACACAGACTTGGATCAAGCATTTAAAAAACAAAAACAAAAACACTCCTGGCCCATGAAATCTGCTGTAACACTGGGATGGGTGACCACGGCTGCCAGCCTCACCTTCTCTGAAGGCGCCTTTGGGGCTGGCTTTTTCTCCTGACTGATGCACTTGCCTTCACTCTAAGCACACTTTTCGCCGTGGCCAAGTCGTGGGAAGCCAATTAATTTAGTATTCAGGTTGGTTGTAAGCAGCACAGAAGCTAAAGGAGGAGTTGAATGTTCCTGAACAATGATCCACTCAGGCAGGCTAGGCCTGACTTAAAAAAATAAAAAATAACCACCACCACCACCCCCCAAATCGCTGCCCACCGGTCTAGCGATGTCCTCGTCACCTGGGCTGATCCTAACCTTTGCAGTCCCCAGTGCACCCCACACCCACACCTTTGCTGCGAGTAGCTTCCAACTCGGTGTTGTCTTTCTCCTGGGAAGAGACCCTCGCCTATCCGATTTGGCCTTAGATGCCAAGTCCCCTTCTGCTACCCATTTAGAACCCCCTGCCTGAGAACGAGCCCCTCCCCAAAGCACCGGTCCTGGGCAGTCCGCTCTCCGAGGGTCCCCGCCTATTCCGCGGCGTTCCTGTCAGCCGGACTTGGGGTCCCTCCCGAGTTCCCAGCTACAACTCCACCTCTAGCTGCTCACCCTAGAGACAGAATTCCCACGTGCGGAACGCATCTGGGGAACACGTTTACCTTAGAAATCAAACAATTTCGAGATCTGGAAATCTTCCACGGGCAGAAGAGGCGAAACCGTGCCGGGTCCGCGGCGCTGAGGACCCCGGGTCGCACGAGCGCTGGGAGGCCGGGCGCAGGGCCCCGGAACTGGCGCCTCAGAGACGGCGCGGGGCAGCCCCCGGGCGGCGAGAAGGCCGGGCGCTGGCCCTGCCTCCTTCTTCGCCCCTAACTCCTTCAAGCGTAGCCCCAGCCAGCAGCGAAAGACAGCCGCCGGCCCCCGGTCTCCCTCTCCCCCCGCAAGCCCATCGCAGGTCACAGTCCGTCTGCCTAAACTTTCCGTGCGCGCGCCACAGCCGGAACTATAGGGCCGCGCGACAAAAGCGAGCCGGGCGCCCGCACCGAGCGCGGGGCTGGGCGGGGCTTCGGCGACTGCCCGAAGCCGGGCTGTGTGGCTCGGCAGGGACGCTAGGGGGCGCGTCTCTCCGCTGGGGCCAGCCCGAGACCATCCCGCTGCTCCTCCCCACGAGCCCTCAGCTCTGCGCAGCTCCGGCTGGGTCTGTCCCCGGCCGCCCCTCTCCCCATCCCCAGGCTCTTCTCGTTCGCCTCGGGCCCTCTCCCTCCTTGACCCATGGGGCCTCTCTGCTGTCCCGGGACTGTGTAACCAATTCACACTTCCGTCCCTTCACTAACCCAGGCCCAACCTAACCCTCACTGCTCCTGGCCACCCTGCATACTCCTCCCTCAGGTCCTCAAGCAGGCGACAGAATCTTCCTCTGGCTCTTAGAAAACAAACAAAAAAACCCGGTCATTTTTGTCGTAGGAGGGCGCCCACAGAAGCACGGTGTGTTTTCCTTAGCCGACTTGAACCCAGACGTGACCTCTTGGTCTCTGCAGCCTCCATGTTCACCTTACCTCCCTGCCCCTACTGGGAGGGAAGCCCAGGGAAGGTTCGGTCGGTTCCCCCATGGCTGAGGGGTCTGCCCCTGGTGGGCCCGCGCCTGCCTTTGGCCAGCTGACGCTTGCAACTGCAGCCTGTGTCTAGTGAGCTCCTCGAAGAAGCGACGTGGGGAGCCCGCAGTGCCAGCCAGAGGTAGGCTTGAACGGGTGCCAACCAGCTCCCGGGCAGTTACGGGTCAAAGAACAATGCTGTACCACATATGCTCCAAGTGGGAACAGAAAGGTCTCCAGAAAACCTAAGGCATTGGCCTTTCGGTGGGCGGGATGGGGCGACATAGGGGGTGGGACCAGGCGGGAGGATGCTTTGAGCAGCCAAGTGTGTCTGCCATGTCGCAGCCTGTTCTGAGGGAGAGCGTGGGTCCAGGGCCTTGTAGTCCCTTCCTGTCTCCTGGTGAGAGCAGAGGTGGCTGAGAAAGACACGTCAGTCCCTGGGGTTAGCCTTGCCAGCATCAGGGCCTAGGGTACCGGTTGGCTTCCAAACTTGCCCCAGCCTGGCTGGTCTCGACCATCTTAAGACGGTGCTGTGCCTGAGCAGGCGTGGGGCTCTGGGTAAGTAGGGCTGCGGTCTGATTGCTTCCTCCCGATTTCTGTTCTTTCCCTGTTAGGGGCTTGGGGCCAAGACTGTGTGGGTAGGGGTGTCCTCCCTACCTCATGTGAGGCTGACTCAGCCAGAGGGCTTCTGGTTCTCCTGGTGGGTCCAGCTCAGCGCCAGGATCTTACCTGGTTCTAAAGCTGAAGTTTATTTGTTTGCTGAGACGTGATCAGGTCTTGGCGACCCAGTTCTCCTCAAGAATGGGCTTTTGGGAGACTTGGAAATCAAAAGATCTATTTATTAAAATTGATGATGGAACGTGGAGCTACCAAGAGTTCCGTGGCACTCAGAGCAACTGGTAAGAGTTTTGATTTGTTTCCCTCCTTAGTGGGATCCAATTAAAAAATCAGAAGATTGTTCAGTGCATATCAAATCAAAGCACATCAGCACAAAGAGTTAGAAGGGCTTAAAGGAGATGTCTTTCAAGCCATGGCTGGCTGATGGATTTCTTTTCCCGACTCAGGAGACCCTCAACATTAGCATTTCCACACACATTAAAGGAAATCAATAACAGCTTCTTTGGCATAATCTCCCATCCCCTTTATATTTTTTTTCGTCTGCCTTGAGATAGGGAAGTGCTGTCACAGAGGCTTTGGAAGGCACAGCGGTTTGATCCCCAGTCTGGCAGAGTAAAGGTTAGTCACAAATCCCACGCTACTCCCGCTACTCCCAGGGGCTTGGTGCTGAGGCTCAAGGGAGGTCCTGACCTCTGATTCTCCGAGGGCCTGTGTTGAAAGTACAGGTTCCTCAGGGCCCGCTGCCTGAACTGCACTTCTGAGAAGCTTTGTTGTTCAGTTCCCAAGATGACTTGGCCTCTACAGAGATGAAGGTTAAGGAGAAATGAAGAAAAAGTAGAATAAGATGGGGCTTGGGAGGAGGAAGCAGTGGGCCACATCTCTCTCTCTCTTTTTTTTTTTTTTCATGTTTCCTCCCCTCTCTCTCTCCTGTGCTGTCCCTCTCTCATCACCTTGCTGCCGCCCCCTCTAGCCTGGACCAAGTCTGCTCCCATATCATTCTTCCACGCTCCGGGCTCTCTCTTTTCCCCCCACCCTTTCTCCCTCACATTCCATCATGTGCACCAAAGTAGAAGACCTGGGAAATTATGGCTATGACCTTTCTCTTCTGAAAAAATCCTATTATGGAAATTTTCCAATATACACAAAGTTAAAGGGCAATGCTTTAGTAAGTCCCCAGCTTCCACTGCCAGTTCAACCCTCGGTCTTGTTTCAGTCACATCCCTATTCACTTCTCCCCAGTACAGATTCCAGATAGTGTAAATATTGCAGGATGTATCTCAAAAGAGAAGAACTTATTAAAAAAAATTAACTACAGGGACCAGCCCCTGATATAGAAGGCAGTGCTGCCATCTGTGATCCCAGCATCCCATATGGACCCTGGTTTGAGTCCTAGCTGCTCCATATCCGATCCAGCTCCCTGCCATCTGGGGAGTGAACCCGCTGCTGGAAGATCTCTCCCTCTCTCACTCTCTGTAACTCTGCCTTTCAAATACATAAATAATTTTTTAAATTATAATACCATTATCAAATTTAAAATAATTAATAATACATTCCTAATGTCATCAAAATGTAGTCAAGGAGCAGGCGTTGTGGCACAGTGAATTAAGCTGCCACTTGGGCACGGACATCCCATTGTGGAAGGCCTGGGTTCTAGTTCTGTCTCCATTTCTTCTGACCCGCTCCCTGCTAATCACCTGGGAGGCTGCAGATGATGGCTCAAGTGCTTAGGCCCCTGCCAGCTATTTAGGAGACCTGGATGGAGCCCCTGGATCCTGGCTTCAGCTTAGCCCAGCCCTGGCTGTTGCTGGCATTTGCTGAGTGAACCAGTAGATGTAAGATATGTCTCCTTTTCTGTCACTATGCCTTTGAAATAAATAAAAATCAATAAGCATTTTTTAAAAGAATTTGGTTAGCTTTCAGACATCCAGTTGTCTCATAAACATGGTGAATGTGACTTCTTTACACTTGGAGTATTTACACTTGGAGTATTTACACTTGGAGTATTTGAATCAGGATCCAGATAAGACCCAGACACTGCGATCAGAGGTAAACCTCTGAAGCCCCTTTAGTCTCTAGGCTTCTCCCTCCATGTCTCTTTCCCCTTGCAATGCATTTGATGAAGAAACTGTGGCCCTTTTCTTTTTAATTGCTCTCAATCCTCTTTCAGTCTTTTCCAAAGCGTTTGAGAAAACTACAAAGCTTCTCTCTATTCTAAAATAATGAAAAGACTCACTGAACAAAGAAAAGCTTTTAAACATTTCCAATTCCAATTAACTTTGCCTCTGCTCTGTGAATCAGGGTGAGCCTTATCCACCATGGGTCCCCGGGCTCTATCATGTGATGCTGGGTGTGCTTTTGTGGAGAGAAGACAGGGGCTTGGGGAGGAGGGGAGGTTATTAGAAGTGAAGTCAAAGGGGGAAAACAGAATACATTTGGTGGAAAGAACTTTCTCGAAGAAACTTAAGTGGCACTCCTTTATTAGGGATACTGTCTCTTTTGAAAAATGTTATAACGTCTACATTTTAAAAGTGCCCCCCATGACCTGGTCTCCCACCTATCTTGCCCAGCTCACCACTCGCTCTGTTAAAACCTCCGTGGCATGTTTCAGTGAAAAAGCAAGTATATGGGGCCGGCGTTATGGTGCAGTGGATTAAATTGCCACTTGCACTACCAGCATCCCATATAGGAGTGCTGATTCAAATCCCAGCTGCTCTGCTTCTGATCCAGCTTCCTGCAAATGAGTGTGGGAAGGCAGTGGAGGGTGGCCTAAGTACTTGGGACCCTGCCACTCATATGGGAGACCCTGATGGAATTCCAACTCTGGCTTCAGCTGGGAAAACCAATGGATGGAAGATACCCTCCCCCTACCCTCATAACTGCCTTTCAGATAACTAATCTTAAAAAGAGAAGAAAAATCAGAGAAAATTACAACAAAATGAGATTTCTTACATCATAGAAGTAATTCAAGTCTATGGAGAGAAAAATTCAGAGTTTCAAAATAGTGAAAAATATTTTTCACTATTCCTAGAATCAACTGTTCATATCTCCTTGCCTCAAGTATTGTTCTCCAAGCTGTTGGCTTGGAGAGCTGAAGTGCCTGAGAGTCAGTTTCTTGTTTTTGCTCCTGTTTTTATTCATGTATGGGTGACAGAAGTACAGCTCCTGCATAATCCTTGCAGAATTGTGTCTACATATTTATGTGTGTATACTGTACATGAGGGGTCTTCAAAAACTTCATGAAAATCTGTTGTATTAAAAAGCTATGTGTGGATTTACCTAGCGGCGCCGGCACACTGGGTTCTAGTCCTGGTCGGGGCGCCGGATTCTGTCCCGGTTGCCCCTCTTCCAGGCCAGCTCTCTGCTGTGGCCAGGGAGTGCAGTGGAGGATGGCCCAAGTGCTTGGGCCCTGCACCCCATGGGAGACCAGGAGAAGTACCTGGCTCCTGCCATCGGATCAGCGTGGTGCGCTGGCCGCAGCGCGCCGGCCGCGGCGACCATTGGAGGGTGAACCAACGGCAAAGGAAGACCTTTCTCTCTGTCTCTCTCTCTCACTGTCCACTCTGCCTGTAAAAAAGAAAAAAAAAAGCTATGTGTGGATTTCAAAAATACTTTGCACCAAAATAAACTTTATGGGGCTGGTGGTATGGTAATATGGTGATTCTAACATCAGGATTTCCATGTAGGCACCAGTTTGAGTCCCAGCTACTCCACTTCTGATCCAACTCTTCCACTGCCCGAGAAAGCAGTGGAAGATGGTTCAAGTCCTTGGGCCCCTGCCACACATGTGGGAGACTTGGATGGAAT